GTGAGGGCCATACAGGGCCGGCTCTAGGTTATTTGGTGCCCAAGGCGAGAGTGCCCTAAAAAAAAAAAAAATTTTCATATGCAAGCTAATGGTGTAGTTGAGGAATTGCGTGGTATATGGATACAAAAGTACTTTAGGCTATATCTCCAAAAACACAGCATATATATATATGATTAAACATTTATATTTTTTGTACAATTACTCAATAAATTGTTGGGTTCGTATAGACCCCGAAGCCCAGAAGTGTAAACAGGAAACGAAGACCATTTCTTGAAGGCTAATATAATGCCGACTGCAGATACACATAACGTAAACAAAGCAGCGCGTGCTTGCCGTTTTGAATATACCCTTGTCAACATGTCGAATCAGGCGAAACAAAGCCGACGAGGACTATTTTGAGACGACGGCACGGAACCGTGCGGAACACACCGAGGAAACTAAAGCGCTAAACCCAGCTGTCAGATGTTTTCTCGCCACTCCCGGTTGCTGAGCAACGCGCGTGAGTTTGACAGCTGCCTGTCAGAGTGACTCAGTCGTTTTTTAGGATTGTATAATCTTGTTAAAGAAATGGACAAATACAAGCAGTGTGTGAACAATGCACAGTACAGCGTGTGCGCAGCTTTCATAATACGACACATACATTTAATTAACTTTTTTTTCAATTCTGCAATTTGCGCCCCGTCCAGCAGATGGCGCCCCAGGCGGCCGCCTGTGTCGCCTGTCGGCAAAGCCGGCCCTGGGGCCATACATAAACAGCATAGGAAGGCCCGCCAAAAAGAACAAAAGTCACCTCCTTCATCAATGGCGCCTACCACTAGTCGCCGCTCATGCTACCGTTGTGGATCTACCAGCCACCTAGCAAATAAACCCTCGTGCCCGGCTGTTAAAGTGACGTGCAATTCGTGTGGGAAACTGGGACATTGACATTGACAAACTGACAGTGCTTTATATGACTGATACTGTGAGAGATAAAATTCTCTGTACTGTGCAAGTGAACGCAAATGGTCATTGTCATGACGTTGAGCTAATAGTAGACACAGGTTCATCAGTCTCTATTATTCCAGAGAGCACTCATCAGACCCTTTTTCCTACATGTGAACTTTCTGAGCCTACAGTGAACCTGTTCACATATTCAAAAGAGAAAATACCCGTTAAAGGGTGTATGACTGCCACAGTTAATCATGATGGGCGTTCTACTAGAGGCTCATTCATAGTGGTAAAGTCGGGCACTGCTCTATTAGGACTAGACCTATTTGTGGCATTGCACATGCGTATTGAGGGCACAAAAGTCGTTACAGCTGACAGCTCGGAGGATCCTGTTGCACAGAGGGCACCTACTGTACCAATCACAATACCACAGATGGCACCTGAGATCCAGGTACAGGAAATCGGCTGTGCAAAGGGATTTGTGCACAAAATTCAACTCAAACCAGAGGCTGTGCCAATACAACAAAAACTCAGGAGACTTCCCTTCTCAGTGAGGCAGGCCGTGAGTGAGGAGCTCAAAGATCTACAGGAAAAGGGTGTCATAGAACGCATCGATGCATCTCCATGGGTCTCCCCAATTGTGGTTACGCGAAAAAAAGACGGAGGAAAACTGCGCATGTGTGTTGACCTCAGAGAACCTAACAAAGCCATTGTAAGTGACTGTTACCCGTTACCACACATGGACGAGCTATTCTCTGAACTTAGAGGGGCCACAGTCTTTTCTACCATTGACCTGGCCTCTGCCTACCACCAAATGTTACTGCACCCAGACAGCCGTGATATAACTGCATTTATCACACATGATGGTCTTTTCCGTTTCTGTCGGGTCCCATTTGGCCTTGCTTCAGCTCCATCAGCTTTCCAGAAGATGATGACGACCATACTAGCAGGCATACCAGGAGTACAGGCATACTTAGATGATGTGATTTGCTACGGAACCACTCAACAGCAGCATGATGCCAACCTACAGAGGGTGCTGCATGCCTTGAACGAGGCAGGACTTAAGTTAAACATGCAGAAGTGCAAACTTAACCAGACTTCCTTGCGGTTTCTAGGCCACACCATATCCAAAGAAGGGCTTCATCCAGATCAAGATCAGATCAAAGCTGTGGCCAATGCACCTGCCCCACATGACACACCCTCGCTGCGATCCTTTCTGGGCCTGGCATCATGGTACAGTAAATTTATTCCTGATTTTTCTACCGTTGTTGAACCGCTTCGTCAAACACTCAGGGAGTCAACAGAGCGGCAGTTCAACTGGACGGCTGAGGCAGAGAATAGTTTCACAGACATTAAGAGACTGATTGTTGGTAGCCCTGCCCTAGCACTATACGACCCTGAACTACCTACATATGTAACTACAGATGCCTCTGATTATGGGCTAGGTGGTGTACTTAGCCAATTTCATTCAGATAACACAGAGAGAGTCGTGGCGTTTGCATCCAGAACACTTTCTCCGGCTGAAAGAAAATATTCCACTGTGGAACGTGAAGCACTGGCATGCGTGTGGGCAGTAGAAAGGTGGAGAACATATCTATGGGGACATCACTTTGTGTTACGCACAGACCATCAAGCACTTACTACCCTGCTCACATCCAGGGGTACTGGCCGGGCTGGATTGCGAATTGCAAGGTGGTCTGCAAGATTACTTTGCTTTACATACGAAGTTGCTTACCGCCCTGGAAAACTGAATGTAACTGCCGACTGCCTGTCCAGGCTTCCACTAGCCACAACAGGAGAAGATGAAGTGGAACCGGACCTAGTAGCAACCGTTTACATGGAGTCTTTGCATGCCATATCCTTGTCGGAGTTCACCGCCGCATGTGACTCTTGTCCGGAACTGACTCAATTGCGACAGCAAATACAGAAAGGCTGGCCAAAATGCAGAAAGAACGTAAGAAACGAGCTGATTTCATACTTCAATGTACGAGACGAACTGGCTGTAGACAAAACACTTGTCATGAGAGGTACTGACCGGTTGATTGTGCCCACATCACTGCGATCCAAAATGGTAGACTTGGCACATGAGGGGCACCAGGGAGTGATACGCACTAAACAGAGACTGCGAGAACTGTATTGGTGGCCACAAATGGACAAATATGTACAGAGTAAGATTGCGTCCTGTGTGTCATGCCAATACAATGACAAGACAGTGAAGACTGCACCTGCACCACTTACACCCGTCAAATTGCCAGATGGACCATGGGAAAAGGTGGCCATTGACATAACCGGTCCTTTTGAACGTGCTACATGGGATTGTCGTTATGCTATCACTCTCACAGACTACTACAGCAAATGGCCAGAAGTGGCATTCGCCTCTACAGTCACAACAGAGGTGATTACCCGTTTTTTAGCTACAGTGTTCAGTCGTGAAGGAAATCCGACCTACCTAGTCTCTGACAATGGATGTCAATTCACTTCCCACGAATTTGCGAACTTTCTGAGAGAGAGAGAGATAAAGCACCTGCGCTCCAGCGTCTACTATCCAAGAGCCAATGGAGCGATTGAGAGATTCAATAGGGTATTAAAAGAGTGTCTCCAGACGGCAGAAAGAGCACACAAGCCGTGGAAACAAACAGTGACAGAATTCTTACAGATTTACCGAGCTACACCGCACGCTACTACAGGAGCGACTCCATTTGAGTTGCTGAGAAATAGGAAGATGCGCACTAAACTGAATATCTTTCCTGTCTCACACAAAATTACATCACACAAGCAAGTCAAAGAAACTGTAAAACAAAATCAACAAAACAGTAAGGAGTATACAGACAAAAAGCGAAGAGCAAAAGTGCCCACCTTCAAAGTGAATGATGTTGTGCGAGTCAGGAGACCGGAACACGTTTACAAGGGGTCTTCCAAATACACCGAACCTCTGACGATCGTAAAGAAGGTTGGACCAGGTACTTATCTTCTCAGCGACGGTCGGAAATGGAATGCCTCAAAACTGGCACGTTTCCCAAAGGAGGCTCTAGCTTGCACCAGTGAGAACAATGAGACTACACTGGATGGTCTCACCGTGACAGAGAATGTGCATGTTGGGCAAGAACCAGGCCCTAGACGCACACTCAGAGTCCGTAACCCACCTAGGTGGTTAAAAGACTTTGAGAGATGAATACTGAAGTGTGAACTGTGCAAATTGAAGTATATTTATATCAGATTGTTTTACACATACTGTTCTGTGATATGTGAAAATGTCATACTGTTTTGAGGTCTGAGTTATAATTGCTAATAGCAGAATAACCTTAATTTCTGTTAAATTTAAATTTAGGTTTCGGGTGCAATCCTTAATGTAAGGGTTATTTTACAGCGGTTGCGGGTACCCTGTTTAAGTGACTAATTCCTTTAAGAAAAGGGGAAATGTTGTGTCCTGTTAATAACTGTTAGTGAACACAGAGGGCGCTAGTGAGTAGACAGGGTGAGTTGGTGGGAGTAGAAAAAGAGAAGGAGAATAAAGTTGTATACAGTGGATTACATGTCTCTCGGCTCGTGTCTAAATACTTGACAAAATACCACAGGGCTCAACCTCTTTGAGACACCATCCTCCTCCTCCTTCTTGTTTCATTAACAAAGTTCGGGAGGAGTACTTTTAAATGATCTGTCCAATCAACTCGTCATCAGCAAACACCACTTCTATTCTGTCAGCATGAGAGGAGGCCTACATATATCACAGACACTCCTGGACCGTTTCCAGCATCCTCCACCACACCACTCCTCAGGCGGGACTGGTTCCCACAACAGACAGGACTCTGGGTTCAGGACAAACACCTCTCCTCGGACAGCACGCCAAATACGCACACCATTTATTTGATCAGACGTATTTCACTTACTTGTGAAGTACCTACTCAAGAGAGTATACGATTTCTGGTTGACCATCTGAGTCAGATTAGACATAGGCCTTTGACTCGTACTTTCAGGAACTGCCGTGTAATCTGTTTAAACCAGGGCTCAAATACATCGTAGCTCAAGCATTGTGCTGGGTTTAAGGATTCACCACCACAGGAGTCAGGGGTCGGTGGTAGAGGTCTGCAGAAAAAAACCCTCTCGTCAGTGTGGCCGTTATCTGATTGGCTTGAGGAAACGGTGGTGGAGTCACTTATTTGTGCATTGGTCTGCACCTCGACGCTACAAGTGTTACAAAATCCACAAATGCGTGAGGGGATTTACAAATGAACAGAAAATGGTTCACAAATAAATGCCGGACAGAGTTGTGTTTGTGACATTAAAAAACATTTGTACGTTCTGGGAACATACCACAAAGTTCTAATAATGTTTTCATGTTTTATAAATCAATAACAGCAGTCAAACAAAATATAAAGTGAAAGCATAAGGGTCAAGAGCCCAACTAATGCAAACACTGATCTCCATAATGGTGGCTTACAATTTGTGATTTTCTCCTTCAGTGATTCTGCGTGTTATCATCAGGTGTCTTCAATAATGCTTTTGCTTCAGCATTTTGCGAACATTGATTTGATAATGTTCCTCCTTTGTTATTATGGAACATTGCATAATCTTTTATCTCAAAATTTTACCCAAAACATCCTTAGAATATTACAGTTAAAACGGTATATCTTAGTTTACATTTAACCTTATAGAAAAAAATATTTTAAATGAGAAAACATCCTTAAAACATTCTTTGAACATTTCTTTAAAACATTAACCAAATAGGCAATGTTAGCCAATGTTCTGAGAACCTGCCGAAGCACCAGGTATTTGTGTTCGCAAACCTGATCTCGAGAGTGAGCTAATATTAGCCAGTCGTCTAGATAATTCAGGATGCAAACCCCATGTTCGCCTGGGAGAACAAGGGCTGCTTCGACAATCTTCGTGAAGACGCGAGGAGACAGAGCCAACCTGAATGGGCGAACTGCGTACTGATATGCCTGCCCCTCGAAAGCAAACCGAAGAAACGGTTTGTGTCGAGGTAATATGGAGACATGGAAGTAGGCTTCCTTCAGGTCTATCGCTGCAAACCAATCCTTTTTTATTTGCAAATCTCATTTTCTTTATTTGTGAGTTTTATATTTTTTCGTGAAACTCTTTACATTTATTTGTGGATCTTAATCTATTTATTTGGAATAACGCAACACTTCTCACCCCATCATGTTCTATGTAGCACACAGCTCATGTTTGTCATCGACTGTGTGCTTTTAGTTTGACATGTTTTGTGTGTACACACAGTCTGTGACTGCACTCAGCGGCTGTGTGTTTGTGTCATGTTTTGTGTGGACACATGGCCTTATTTTTATGTGCCATGTGCTCTGACATCTATTGTCTTGTTCTGCTTGTTATGTGATTATTGATTTGCTCCACTTGCTCTCCTTCAGTTCCAGCACATTTTTAATGTAAAAATTCTATACTTTTCCAGACTCAGATGTCGAAGAGATGTTCTAGGAACGAGCCATCAGGGTGGATCCCCGAGAACTAATGGTTCTCTTAGGAATGTTCCCTGGTTGCCAGTACGAACGCTGAAGTGACGCAAGCTACGCTTTTTGTTGTGACCTTTATTTTGGCAACATGACATCATGACTTTTGCGTAAACATATACGCCACTTTCGAGTCAAGTGGTGTGTTATCTCTACGCATTTTGAGCTATCCGCATGTATGCGTGTTTGTCCACGCCATTAACGTCTGAGTGATTCCGCGTGTCTGTACGCGCCGTCAAATATCCGCACGAAACAAAGCAAAATGTCGATCTACATCTGGGGAGCGATCTTTTTTTTTCCTAGGATGGTAAGGGAACAGTCATAAATGCCATTAACCCCAGTGACGGGTAGGTTTAGAGACGGGGTTGAGGTAAGTCATATATTTATATAACGTGAAGTCAACGGCGTTCATAAACACGCTGAAAAGCAATTATGCGTCTTGATAGCACGCCAAAAATGGAAATACGAATTGGCGTGTCATACACACGCTACTTCATGAGATCAGTCTGATTTTGGAGAAAACCAGAGCTTGAGCAAACACAGGGTGCTGGTGTTTCGCGTGCGTTCACCAATCAGCGAACACTAACGTCACTGTAGTTCCTGTAGCGCTGGTTTAGACCGACTTATGGTTCCTAGTTCCTCCGGTGCGAAAGCCCCTTATATTTAACACAAATGGTTCATAAAGCATTATATTTGGTATACATTTATACCATTTATTTTCCCATTGGTTTTCCCGAGCGATAACATGCACTGACATGATGTGTAGAACAGAACTGCATATATTCACCTCGACATCAGTGGGATTCTGTAAATGTGCTCTGATGTGACATGATCACCAAACATCAAAGTACAATCTGATTTTGCTTCTTTATCTACTCGTCTAGTCTATGAGGAGGGTCGTGTGTGGATAAGTTCCGGATAAGTTTATTGAGTTCATTCATCCACAGCTCTGGTTAAATCCACCTTGGTCATGTTGGTGGCGGCGCTCGTCCCTCCTCGCAGCCCACACAGATACACCTGTGGTTTGGGAACATTACTCTCTCCGTCTCGCTTCGTCTGGCTGCTGCCGTCTTTAGGGAGGAATGTTTGTGTGCTGTTGTGCCGCCTCATGTGACTCAAATCCGTCTGCATTGAGCGCGTCACTTTATTCCGCAGATTTGCCTAAGATAGAGACAGTTTCTGGTTAAATCCCCTCATTTCTGTCTGTCTCTCGGACTGAGATCATGTGTGTGTGTGTGTGTGTGTGGGTTCTCACCAGTTTGATGGCTTTTCTCCTGAGCTCCCACTCGTTCCACTCATGAGACTTGACGATGTTGGTCTCCAGAGGGTGTATCTCTGTTTGCATGCTGGCGTCACTTTTAGAGATGACTTTCACCAGCAGTTTCTGTCCTGACTGCATCTGAGACATGGGGAGAACACACTTTTTACACACGACTTTACAAAAATCTCAACTCTTTCCCACCATTGATTGAAGTTTTGTCCAGCAGTCTGTGTTTATATGGTAGGGGGCGCTAATACAGATCTTCTCAACGAGTACAGCATCTCCGCATCTCTTTGGTTGATATATTGACTGTTTACATATTCCCCAGACAGCAAACTGACATTGAATCAACGTGGAAGACAGAAGGTGTGAACATTAACTGAGCATTACAATGAGTAATATTTGCACAATAACGAGCCACCTGGAATGAAGAACGTGACCAGATTGATATTCAGAATGCTAAGCAAGAGCTGCTTTGTTTCAGGTTTGTCTATCAGCAGGCCTACTTTCAGTTTCTCTTTTTGAATGATGAAAATAGACTTTTGTTACCTGCTGGTATACACAGATATTTTCTTACACACAGGTCGAACGCACATACGGCTCGTTTAGTCCTTTTGGTGTGTTCAAGTGCAGCTTTTTGGCCGAGACGCGAGCCGACAAACACAGCTTTCATCGCCGCTAGTTCTTTGGCGTTGGCGTGGTGTGTCAGGGCTTAAGACACGTCACTAAACCTGTCCATGTTTCATGTCTCGCATCTACCAATGACCTTTGACTTCAACAACTAAACATAAGGTTTCTCCACCCTCTTGAAAAGCTGTGTATTACGGTGGTAACTGCACTGTAATGTTGGCCTGTATGATCAGAGCCGGCCCGAGCCTTTTGGGGGCCCTAAGCAGAATTTGACACAAACGTCACGCAATAATGATACATTATAAATGAATACACTTAGGGTATGTATTAGGCTACAACAAAATTAATACTTAATAAAAAAAATAGATGCCTACTTAAATAAAAAAAGTTTTAACAGTCTTAAAACTGTCTGAAAACGAAGAAATCATTTACTAAAATTAAGACAAAACTGAGAAACATAAGAGCAAGGGTTCAACAAGCCTATTGTTGAAAACTAAAAATATTTGGCCTACTATTTCTCAACTGTTTCAATACAGTGTAGCTGTCCTCAAAAGCTTTATTATTATTATTATTATTATCGTAACAGACTTTGTTAGATATTACATGACATAATCCAACAAAGTCTGTTACTATAATACCGGTAATGATGTTCTGGCACTCGTTGTATGTGTGTATGCTATGTATTTTTCCCCTCGGGGCTTGCCGTAGATGCGCACTAGGTAGGCTACTGGAGTGTTGTGGGTTTTTGATCTGGTCTGATGTGTGGTGTAATAAAGTGGAGAAGAGTTCAAACTGCTATGTTTATTATTTATTCAAACTGCTACCCTTATACCTTGAAGGTTAAGTTCCCCTGCGGGCTGTTTTCTCTAATACCGATACCGTGACTAGGCGCAGTTGTGCACAAATTGTCTATGCTCGCACGAGGTGTCTAGAGGATTATGTGCATGACTTAAACGCTGGCAGACACAGCAGCAGTTGTAACTTGTAGGCAGGTATATTGATCATTAAATCAGAGTTGTGTTGTCTTGAATGATTCATTCAGTCATATTCATTCATTCATTGATTTAAGTCACTTGTTTAAGTAATCAAAAATAAAAAAATAAATAAAAAATAACCCCGATTAGGGTGCCCCCTGGTGGCAAGGGTATGTGTATGATATTCCAGTCCGAGAGGCCGATGTCTTGCCCGTACCTCAGAGTAGGGAGTCACGCTGGCGAACTCCTGATGCAGCTGGAGCAGCTGGATGAGCTCGGGCCGTCTTCTCGCCATCTCCACCACCGCAGCGCTATATTCATCCGCTTCACTGGCGAACGCGTGCGCTGCGCTCTTGGAGCTAAAAGCGTAGAACTTCTCCTTGTGCTTTAGGACGCCAATGTTGGGATTACCTGAGAACAAGAGATCGTGTGCAGGTTATCCGACCATGTGCATTTTCCCAAGTTGGAAGATAAAAAATATAATTTACAATGCACTTGTGCAAGTGCGTCGGTCAGAGCACGTATATTCAGTGTTTGTACCTGGCAGTAACAGGCCGTTCTTCTTCACGAGGGTGAATCCACAAAAGCCCTTATACTGCAGTGGCACACTCTCAAAGTTAGCAGTGCTCTCAGGAAAACACCACTCACGCGAACACATCTCTGACACAGCCACACGCTCTTCTGAAAAACACGTGTAGTCTACAGATTAACAGGGTGAATCTCATGCTGACGTGTCCAAGTCAATAATTCACCCCGACATCAAAAGAAATGATTTATGACTATTAAAGAGGCCTGTTATGCTCTACTAGAACAGGTTTTCATGCTTCAATCTTCAATAAACACACTATTGCACAATAGGTCCTCTTTAAGCATTTTCTATTTGAATGGCCATGATTCAGAAACATCTGACTCCAGAATACTGCGATTGACCAGTCAGAATCAAGTGTTCTAGAGGTGTGTGTGTGTGTGTCACCTGTGCTCGCAGCGCATCGGCTGGCGTCCGTGGGCACCTGTAGGCCGTTCAGCAGTACCTCCATCTGCTCAGGGCTCAGCAGAGACTGTGCTGATAGGAAGGGCCTCAGGCCGGGCAGCAGGTTCGTGAGCGCGCTCAGTAGCAGCATCTCAGTCTCCAGCCCCGCCCACAGTGAAGACACCGCTGTGAAATGAGGCTGGCAAAAAGAGAGACGTCTAATGTACAGTGGGGCCAAAAAGTATTTAGTCAGCCACTGATTGTGCAAGTTCTCCTACTTAGAATGATGAGAGAGGTCTGTAATTTTCATCATAGGTACACTTTAAATATGAGAGGCAAAATGAGAAAAAAATCCAGGAAAACACATTGTAGGATTTTTTAAAGAATTTATTTGTAAATTATGGTGGAAAATAAGTATTTGGTCACCCACAAAAGTTCAACTCAATACTTTGTAACATAACCTTTGTTGGCGATGACAGAGGTCAAACGTTTCCTAAGTCTTCTCCAGGCTGGTAGATCACCTCGAGAGCGGTGATGTTTCGGGGCTGTCGCTGAGCAACACGGACTCCACAAATTTTCTATGGGGTTGAGGTCTGGAGACGGGCTAGGCCACTCCAGGACCTTGAAATGCTTTTTACGGAGCCACTCCTTTATTGCCTGGGCGGTGTGTTTGGGATCATAGTCATGCTGGAAGATCCAGCCACGTTTCATCTTCAAGGCTCTCACTGATGGAAGGAGGTTTTGGCTTAAAATCTCACCATACATGGCCCTGTTCATTCTTCCCTCAACACGGATCAGTTTTCCTGTCCCTTTTGCAGAAAAACAGCCCCAAAGCTTGGTTTCCTCCCCCATGATTCACACTAGGTGTGGTGTTTTTGGGGCGCAATTATGCATTCTTCTTCCTCCAAACACGACGGGTTGAGTTTTTACCAAAAAGTTCTATTCTGGTTTCATCTGACCACATGATCCTCTTCTGGATCATCCATATGCTCTCTGGCAAACTTCAGACGGGCCTGGACATGTACTGGCTTCAGCAGGGGGCACGCCTGGCACTGCAGGATTAGAGTCCCTCTCGGTGTAGTGTGTTACTGATATTACTTTGGTCCCAGCTCTCTGCTGGTCATTCATCAGGTCCCTCCGTGTAGTTCTGGGATTTTTGCTCACCGTTCTCATGATCATTTTGACCCCACGGGATGAGATCTTGCGTCAAGGCCCCAGATCGAGGGAGATTGTCTTGTATGTCTTCCATTTTCTTATAATTGCTCCCACAGTTGTTGTTTTTTTCCACACCAAGCTGCTTGCCTGTTGTAGATTGACTCTTCCCAGCCTGGTGCAGGTCTACAGTGTTCTTCCTGGTGTCCTTCGACAGCTCTTTGGTCTTGGCCATGGATGAGTTTGGAGTGAGACTGTTTGAGGCTGTGGACTGGTGTCTTTTATACAGATAACAGGTTCAAACAGGTGCCAATAATACAGGGAACAAGTGGAGGACAGAAGAGCTGCTTAAAGAAGAAGTTACAGGTCTGTGAGAGACAGAAATCTTGCTGGTTTGTGGGTGACCAAATACTTATTTTCCACCATAATTTACAAATAAATTCTTTAAAAATCCAACAATATGATTTCCAGGATTTTTTTTCTCATTTTGTCTGACGTTTGTCATTACAGACCTCTCTCGTTATTCTAAGTAGGAGAACTTGCACAATCAGTGGCTGACTAAATACTTTTAGGCCCCACTGTACATCTACATGTGATCGCAAGCATGGCTCTATTGCACTGAAGAAGAAGAAGAAGAAGAAACCCACAGAAACCTCTGTAATGGAGCAGTATTAGTACTTATTCAAACTTATTTGGACTGACTTGGATAAACTAATGGCTGAATGCCTTACATTAAAGAAATGGGTAACACTTTACTTGAAGGCGTGTGTACATAAGACTAACATGACACCTTCATAACCATGACATGTGTCCTGAATATGAAGGAGGGTTTATGCATGTTTATGACAACTGTCATTAAGTGTCATTCACTCAGATATGGCATTTTGAATGCAAATATGACATAGTTTGAGATGTGTTTTTGGTTTCTTAAGTTTGATCATAATCTGCTAAGTCATGTTAATGACAGGTTGTGTTGTCTCAGTAATGTCAAGTTGTCATGACAAAGACACTGACAGGTTATGATGTATTGGTTTATGTCAAGGTGTCATAACAAAGACAATCTCAAACAGTGTCATATTTGCATTCAAAATGTCATCATTAAGCAAATGACACTTAATGACAGTTGTCATAAACATGCATGAAACCTCCTTCATATTCATAACATATGTCATATTTTATTACTATTATTATTATTAAAAGGTGTGTGCAAAAGAATGACATGAAGGTGTCATGTCATTCTTTTGCACACCCCTTTTAATAATAATAATAATAATAATAGTAATAAAAAAAAAATCTATATATATTTATATATACATTTCTTTTTTTATACACTAAACAAAGTAATAACATGAAAAAGTAAGGAGGACATAATGGTGTCTAATTTCCCAATAAAAGATAATACATTTTCACGTTTTGTTACATTTCATTTCAGATTTTGCTTTAATAAAGGTAACTCTCTATTTATAGATCTTATAATGAATATTCAAACTAATGAGGGCAACATTATTCTGCACTATTTATTACTCTTCTCCCTAATATAAATTTTGTATTTGCCATTGACGCCTTTATCCTGTTCACTGGGGTTTTGTAAGGCCCGGGTCTTTGTAAAGATACTTTGGAATAATAATGTAAAATGCATTATATAAATTAATTTGAGAAATTGTGAGCTATCAGTGAGCACTGAACACAAGAGCAGCGCAGAGATCACTCACAAACACGTGTGATGTAGGCACTGTAGTATTACTGTGCACAGTGTCCCTCAGGAGCGCCATACGAGTCTTCAGATCCGACTGTAACCGCATCACTTCCTCTGCACTCATCATAATGTCCGCCTTGATGAAAACATGAACACCAAAGGGTTAAACTGTTATATTCATTACTCAGAGAAGAGCAGGTCAGATGGATTAGCCAAATCACCAACAGGAATCACATGTTCAAGAGAGCCTGCTAATAAACTGGACTGAGAAACAGCAGATTAACCAGCTTAACTAGTTTAACCAGCTAACCAAATATTATCGAAGCTTGTATCCATCATAGAAAATGGGCAACTTTTTAAACTGCAAGATGCATTATCTCCTATACAAATGTGTCTATGGGACGTGTGCAGATTAAAAATAGATCAGCTTGCTCGCAACACATATATTTAGTTGTTTTTGAAATGACATATGTGTTATACGTGTGGGTGTACATAGATCAGAAGTGTTAGAATATGGGGAACTGAGAATGTACGTACAAGAAAAACACAAGCTCTTGTGCGAAGATAAGACGAGGAGGGGGACATGTTCTTTTTTTTGTATGGCTTGTCATGTCTTAAAATATGTCTGTGCATATTGAAACAGTTCAATAATGCTTTTTAGTATCTTTTGAAACTGGAAGCCTGTAAACACCACCTGGCCAAAGCGAGCGTTCACACTCATGGAGCATTATGGGTTGTGTTCGGTTGCTCAAACGCTCGAGTGTTAGTCTGTTATCTAACTGTACGTTGATTAAGAATGAAACGGCGAGAAACGGCTCCCGTTGAATCCAGCGTATCATCAGTCATTCACTTCCATGGTGTTGTCAAGTACGACTGCAGTCTGTGAGGTAAACTAAACTAGTGGCTATTTGAAAAGGGGGCGGAGCCATTTCCTCAATATGTCCCGCCTTCGCTTCCTGTTTCAGTGGAAATTACGTCAACACATGGTACAGAGCTGCGTGTTCTAACGGTGAAACCCATAGATATATACACTAGACCTCACCTTGGGGTTCTAAGCATGCGTCAACACCGCCGCCATCTTGGAACAGGGGTCTTGTCATAGGAAGTAGCTAGGTAACGCTGCTATCTCTGCCTTTACTTCGAATTCATTGATGGTGGCGGACTTTTGTGCAGCGTATGAAGTTCACGGATGAAATCTGAACTAAGAAGAATGTTTAAAAAAAAAAAAAAAAACATTTTTTTCTTTTTGGAATCAATGATAAATACATGTCTGACCGTCGGAACAAACCAAAAAAACAAGAAAAATCGCATTCATGATGATTTATGGTGATTTACTGTGTCTACTACATTGACGCTGATGCATTAAAGTGGAGGGGCTTCCCTTGTTTAAAGATGGCGGCTCTATTGACGCATTCGTTCCAATGAACTGCCGTATCCAAGGTGAGGTCTAGTGTATATGTCTATGGGTGAAACCCACCAGTATGAGTTTGAGGAAGGCCTCGTGCTGTCTCGCGTTATACAGGGCCTGTTTGAGCAGGTCTGGGTGGACGGGGTGCTCGCTCTGCCCTGTGTCCTGCTCGCAGACCTTCTCCAGCAGGGCGGTGTACTGCCAGGCCCAGCGCTGTGCTCCGGCCAGCTCACGCTCGGTGTCTGCCACTGCGGCTGGCACCGCCTCGCTCAGGATGGCCGGCACTGAGGGGGAAACACACACGGAGAGGTGAGCACTGACGCCACAGGCATGGACACGGGAACACTGTGAGAGCAGCACGTACGGTTCTGGATGCCCTCTCCGCCCTTCTCGCTGTCCTTGTTGAAGAGCCGTATGCCGCTGACGATCAGGCTCAGTTGAGTCAGCTGCTTCTCTTTGTCTTGTTTCAGCAGAGACATGAAGGTGGCCAGCTGTGACTGTGGAAAGACGCTCTGCAGAGCCGCTGAAGCAAACACACGTCACACACAAATCACTCTAATGTGATGATCTGATGCAAAAGAAACATTCAGGCCGTGTGTCCACCAAAGCATTGAAAACGCTAGCCGCTCTGCTGAAGACGCCGTGCTTTGGGCGCTTGAGAGCGTTATGGCAGCGCAGCGTTTTTTCCGTTGAGACGTTTCGTTGCTACGATACAGAATATCCGCAGCATGTTGTGACAGTTGGTCGGTGTGGTATTAGTCCCGCCCCTCCTCCACTGTGATTGGACGGCTGGGTAAAAAGTGACAGTGATGAGCGCTGCGTTTTATCCAAAGTTGAACATTTTTCAACTCCCAGCGACCAGTAAAAACGCTTCAGCGTGAAAAAAACACTCAGCGCCTCGGTACGCTCATGGCGTTTAAAAATCGCGGCGCTCCCATTGAAAACAATTGAAAGCATTACGCCAGGCGCATGGAAAAACGCTTTGGTGGACACACGGCCTTATGATTAATATCATCAATGATGAAAACGGTGTGTGGCTTTAGATATTTGTGTAAACTGACACATTTTATTTTCCAGGATTCTATGATGAAAGTTTGAGGAAAGGTAACAGATCCTTGAGGGACAACACATGATAGGATAAGAATATGATGATTGATCGTGTCGAACGCTGCTGTGAGATAAAGAAGTCGAAATATATATAGTAAAATGATCAGAATCGGTTGACAGATAAATGTCATTGAAAACCCTCAGCAAAGCTGATTCTCTACTTTGATGTGTTTTACAGATATCACAGATGTCAATTTTATCAAGAAATGTCAATCATTTTCCAAGATCTTAGCCAGGAATGAAGAATAGCTTTGATAATGTATTGTTGAGATATATCCAGCTGCAGACCCGCAGCACCACCAGTTTCAGAACCGGCGGAATTATTATTATTGCATTATAGTTACAGTATTTTTGCAAGAATGTAAGGACAAATAGGCCTGAGAGTGAGTTCCTCATTTGATACATCGTAAGTTCAATTTATTCAAGATTTTTATGATAAAACAGGCCTGGGGTTGAATGGGTCATTTGTTGTTTACATTTTTATTGTTTCGTTTAAAACAATGCCGAATTTTCCCTCTCTTAACATGAAAAAAATGTGAAAAAAAGTATATTTATAAACAATACGCCCATACGTTTATTTTTTTTAATTTTTTAATTAACAATCAAAATCATCTTACAAAAACATATCTTAAATATCAAAACAATTGAAGATTTTTGTAAACACAATAAATAAATAAATAGAACATAAAATATCACAGAGGTCAAATCAGTTATCAAATTGTGTATAATTGTGAAAACCTCCAATGCTTGTCTTGTTTTATATCTTTCAAAGCTTTATTATACAATGTTAACTCCTTCATAAAAAACAAAAAACAAAGGTCTTACCTTTATAAATCTACACGTATGTATAAACTGCTTAGCTAAAATAATTAAACTGTTATACATTAAAATGCCAATAAGTTTCAAGTATTATTTTCTCACCATCATGATCAGGAATAAAAAAAAACTCATAATACAATGAAACGGATAACTATAAACACAAAATCAATGTTTTAAAATGCCTATTGTACTGTAATGTAGCATACGTACATATGTAGAGAGTAGGACGTGTCATGTTCAATAAAAGCTGTTTCATGTGTAAAATACCCTCCAAATTACGTTAGGTGGCGTTATTAGGTTTCGAACCTAAGCTCCGCCCCTCACTTACGGCCCTGGCGCTGGTGTTAGAATGTAAGCTCCGCCCCTTTCTTCCGGTTCTGACGCTGGGGTTCTGAAACTATAGACAAATTTACCCCTGTGACTTGTGACCCCTGTGGCTCAGCTCTCGCGTGTTGCACGTGTGTGTGTGTGTGTGTGTGTGTACCTGTGGTCTCCCTCACGGTGCTGATGTCAGTGGGCGAGCCGAGGCCGGAGCGCTGCATGACGTAGCTGACGATCTTGCTGTACAGGCCCTGCAGGTCCTCTCGGGTCTGAGCTCGACTGTCCGTGATCTCTCGGCTCAGAGACAGCAGACGAGACTGCAGGACCTTCTGGTGCATCTCCACAAACTCACCTGACACACACACACAGGCAAACAGATCCAATGTAGCTAAACAATAAATGTGAGCGCACTGTAAGATCAGATCAGAAGCAATAAACTCAATAAATCAATAAATGCCTTTAAAAACGCTCTAAACTCCATTATACAGCTGGTCTTTCATGAACTGCACTGCACGACTAAAGATGTTAGATCCGTCATACTTCTGATAGTGTGTATGTTAGGAGTGCAGTGAGACCCTCATGACACGATTCGATACACACCGCCACACTGAACTCACAATACCATATTACTGCCGTACTCCAAGACAAACTTTTTTTTACTGTTGATTTAAATGCTAGACTTGTGTTACACTGAGTGTGTGTGTGTGTGTGTGTGTGTGTGTGTGTGTGTGTGTGTGAACAGGACTCAGTGCTGGAACCCAAAGCACAGGACAATAGAGACACCAGAATAACAATATTCATGATTCTGGAGATGAAAACACTGAATTATTATAGTCACTGACTAGATATATTTAATATAATGCAGTTTATATTATAATTTAATATAAACAGCTGACGTCTTCCATTATCAGGACACACAGATATCCCCCATTGCATTATTATACATTATATTCAACATTATATATATAGTAGTTTAATGTAGTACTGACACTAAAACTCTCACACAGTATTTTCATTCTGAGTGAACTATACACATACACATTGTCTCTATCCACTAAACATATGGTTGGCATTTGGTTTTGTGATATAATGTGACCCGATATATTGTACACCGCTGGATCTCTTCATGAGTTCTACAGGGCCGGATCATCTAGAAGTGACGTGACCAGCTCGTCTCTGTGCTTTCACACTTACGTGGAGATGTGTAGTTCATGTCGAAGTAAACCTGCATCTTAATGGTGTTCAGCGTTGGACTGGCCTGGTCCATGAGTCTGTCCACACACAGCTGAACACATGGAAGACAGAGCCATTAATCAGTCACGTTACACTGCTCCTGCATTACTACAGTTATCAGAACAATTGAAACTAAATATTCTGAGAGTATGTGTGTTGAACAATGTTATCAATCCGTTAGTTTTACTATTTCTACTCATTGGTGTCTCATAATGATTCATTTTTTTTGAGAAGACACCTCGCTGAATTATCCATGACCGCACGCGTTGATTTCCTGTGACAGGCGCTTCAAACCGTGAAGACTGAGTTTGTTATTGCTTTATAAGAGTTCCTGTGTGGCATTAGTCACGTGACGTCTCGAAATTTCAATGGTTCACTCTTTTTTTTCCTCTTTATCCCTTGTCTTTTATTTGTCCTCTTCATATGTATGTAGGCCTAAGTGATTTTTAATACTTTAATACTTAAGACGTTGGAAAAATGCCTGATTGCAAAGAACTATTAACTATTTGCAGCACATCTGTTACTATAGAGCCACTATATATAGTCATGGTACCAACAACGCCTGGTTGGATTGGTTAGGGGTTGGGTTTGGTTTTGTCAACTCAAAACTTATCCTGTAACCCTGAGTATGTTCACTCTCATCATGCTACAGGTAATACCATCACCCATTTAATGGTTTACGTTTTAATTACATATAGTATAATTAAAATCAATCATAGTAGTTAATAGTCCCTTTTTGGCCTGTTCAGCTGGAACAAACAGGCCCTGAACATTGATAAAATAACACATATTACACACTTGATATTTAATATCATTAGATGATTAGGCAATTGCATTTAATACACATTTATTTTAAATATAACATTGTTTGATGCATGTGGCCGTAGTTTTTGTTACATTTCCACTGTGGTTCTTCTGACCATCAGAGGTCATCAGTGCGTGGCGATTCGAACGCTTCGAAACAGTGAATCATTTTGCAATTGATTCAAAGATTTGATTCGCTTCCTGTTTCACTCTAAATAACTTTCTTTTTACCTCTATGAGTTGCTGCACATCTTGCTTTGTAAGAGTCCTGTCCACGTTAAAGTGATTCCTGGGGTCCAGAACAACAGCTTTGACCTGAACACACAAGTAATGATGAGCTACAAACACATTCATCAGCTTTAACGTTAACTTACCTGTGTGATTCTCAGTCACTCACCATGAACGCGATGAGCGTCTCGGACAGAGTCTGTCCTCTGCTCAAACATGTCTGCGCGATCTCGCGGATGATGTTTCTTATGACGCTTTCCGCCTGTGTACTCGACATGTTTCTCAACTATAACATATAGCTACAGGTTTTTAACTTCAAAATGTCGCGAAAGCGTGTGTGGCGTGGTGTGGTGCGTCGAGTTGTTGTCATGGAGACGGTGAATGTGCGCTTCAGAAAGGCGCCGGAGGAGGCGCTGCTGCTGCACAGACCAATCCGCACGAGCCTGTTAGTGCACTGAATCAAACACACTACACTAGTGATTACTAGGGGTGCAACGGTACAGATAGCCCACGGTACGGTCCGTACCTCGGTTTTTGGGCCACGGTCTCGGTTCGGTTTCGGTACGTTTTGTGCAGAAAGAGACTGCTATTTCATCCCAAAAATATGTTTTATTTTTCTTATGAGCATAAACAGAATGTCACAGTAAGAACATCAATGAGTATGGAATAAATTAACACTCTAGTCTGTACTGAACCTCTTCAACTACCACTTATGAAATACAAAATGTAAACAAGCAAACTTTAAAATATTCAAGTGGATCCCAAATCCAAACCTTGATAACTGGTAAATGAAGTGATCAATGTGAAAGAAAAAGTGCACTTTTACCTTTAACATAAATTAGCTTGTGGTTTGAATAAAAAGAGCAGAGCAAAATAATATAATTAAAAAAAAATACTGCATTCAGGATACAAAGTGCAATGTTATTTACTCATCCACTTTTGAGAGATTCTTGTGCAAAAATATACTGCAGTCAAAGTTTGACTGGGTTTGCGTTATGCATCTGTGCTGGGAATGTAGCGAGTGCGTGGAGCCGAGGTGAGGCGTTTATTTAGTAAGCGTGAGCGCGCTGGGGCGGGCACGTAACTTACATTCGCAGCCTGACTCATATGAGTATTCAATGTGCGGCGACTCGCTAACAACAGTGGGTTGTTTTGAATGAGGTGACCCGTGTGAACGGGGAGCGCTTTATGAACGTCTATGACGCGCGAGCAGCGCCGGTCTGTGTTCGTGTGTCTGATAATAAGTGAGCGCTCGTGAGCGACACACACATTACCTGATTTATACGTGGTTGAACTGGCCGTGTGACAAACAAAGCGGGAATAAGCTGGACACGAGCGCAAGTTCGCGGGCGAATTTAATAACGCGGAGCGTTGTTAACTAATTGATCCATAGCTATATAGTAAGGCGCTCCCGAATATAAGGCACACACTGTCGTTTTTTGAGAAGATTAAAGGCTTTTAAGTGCGCCTTTTATAGTGCGGAAAATACGGTAAAAGGATCAGCACGAACTCTATGGCAGAACCGAAGTCCCGCGGGACACGAGGTTAGATTGTCCCGTGCAGGGCTGACCGAACGGTCCGGGATTTTACCGTGTACCGTTGCATCCCTAGTGATTACACTACAGACAACCGATACAGGCCAGTCTCGAAAGGCGAAAACCAGACATTATCACTGAGAGTCTATATTTGGAGGGCCAAATATTGACTCAGTGGTGATATCAAACTGTGTACACCAAAACCCCGCTGGCTGGGAACGGCTGGAAGGGTGTATGAGAGCTTTAATAGCACCAGTGCCGTATTCCTGCCAACTTCCAATCAACTCTAACCTTCATTAACGCAAAACATTAGTAGCAGCAAATCATTTAGATAGGAACTTTAGGCTATTAACCATATCAATAAATCACTCAGAAACTGAACATTCAGTCCTAGATTGTGTGAAAAAACTATATCATAAACTATAGCTACTGCATTGGTGATGATGGGAAGAAAAGCTTTATCTGAACACACTCCTCAAAGTTCATATATTTATTTTTGTGACGGATCAAAAGATGACAGAATTGTAGTGATAAAAATATATAACGGTAGCACAGGACAGGAGAGTGAAAGCCTGAACCGACCGCCTGCTAAAAGTGAGTTCCTTCTGGTTTATAATCATTCACAGCAGATTAATCTCAATACAAAAATAATCATTTGATATTCATGTACAGTTAAAATCGAATATTATATAAAATACATAAATTCCTTCAAAGACAATACTTTTTCTTGTATCATTGTTGATTCTCACTCACACACACATTTTTGTTTTGGTTACCCTTTGTCAGGGTATAGACACTATAAATGTGAAGAAAACAGATATTTGTTCAATATGTTAAGCTGTCGTATGTTTCCAATGTTCACAAACCATGGAACAAATCTGTCTCTTCTCTTTATAATGGATATTTGTTCCCCGTCTGCTGTTTCCTGATACATGGCATAGACAGCTCAAGAAACGCTTGTCCATGAACCAAAGTTTCCCATGAGCAGCTTCCAGGTTTTGTTCTTCTAAACCGATGGCTATGATTAAATGTAATATAATACAGACAAAGTCTTGTGTTCACAGTAAACGAGAGCATAAGCATTAAACTGATGAAAATCCTTCATTATATCGTCTTGTTTGAAAATCTCAAAGTCATTATGAAAGCGAAGTTGCACGCTATTGTGTCGGATATATCCGAGTGAAACACTTCGGAAGAGAAGAGATGCTGCAGGTTATTCTGATTCAAGATTATTAAAAGACGCATGGATTGAAAACAATAACGATGTGCACTAATAAATCATTTGATAAATACTTAAATATTCCTTAAAACATAGATAAGGCAAATAGCAAGTGCACAGTGTAAAGTCTCCTTCATATTTTCTCTCTCGAGTCAGTGGCGTTACTCCTCTGTTTACTCTGTTGGAGTGGATTATAAGGCCCCAGTTGCGCTCCATTTTGGTGAAGTCATCGTCCTGCTCGGCGCCTTCCTGTGAGGACTGTCTCAGGACCACGTTAGGCAGGAGTGAGACTGCTTCAGTCTGGATCTGTGGCTCGTCCTCAAGACCCAACAAGCCCATCAGAGGGATAGTCAGCTCTCGAGTCACTGGGCTCCAGTCCAAAAATATCTGTGCTTCCACTTCCTCATCGTTCTGCTCGTCCTCACACTCGTCCTCACAGGCGTCCTCAGTCTCAGTGGGGTCTACCGTGACGCCTTGAGCCCTGTACGGGCTGAGCTCGGCCGGACACCGGCCCGGTGCGTGGAAACCGGCCGGCAGCACGATACCGTAATCTCCTGCCTCGCTGTGAGGAGGCTCCTGTGGCCACGGCTCCAGCTCGGCGTCCTCCCTCCCTGAGTCTTCATCCTCGTCCTCTTGAAGAGCTCCAGATCCGGCCGGCGGCGGCTCGTGCTGCAGCGCATAAGACACGGGCGGCTCCGGCACAGCGTTCAGAACCTGAACCTGAGCCACGGACGAGTCTTCGGCAGAGACGGGCTGAGGCAGAGCCGGAGGACAGAGCGCAGACCACTCGTCTTCAAACCGGCCCATTTTTAACACGTTAATGATGATTGTTGAAGGCATTTCCGGTTGGAAGGTTTGCAGCTTATCACTTAATCGAGCCACGTGCTGAAATGACAAAAGTATACAATACAGTTTCACAGTAATACGAAGGAAAATAATAGAACAATGCAATTTCCATCAGATATCAAGATAAATTCAAATTCTGAAATTTTGTCTAAAAAGACAAAAGATCTGACTGTTATCTCACTACCAGGGGTTGTAATTAACACCCGCATACACACCAAATTTGGATAATAATCAACTGTGGCGGGAAACGCAGTCAAATCACTCGCCACTTTGGCGCGTTTCTTATTAAATTTACTCATTTTGCTGGAAGTTTGTGTAAGTCAAATCTGTGCAGATTTAGCACAAATACTCAACTCATGAGATCATGAAATGTTAAATAAAGCGTATTGTGCAGAATCTGCTCATATCTGGCTTACCTGAACACACTCGTCAGTCACTACGCAACAAATAACGGCATGCTTGTACATTTGCATTGAAGCAGTAGTGGAGATTAAAAAGCATTTGCTTGACAGAAAATACTTTATTTTCGGTACTGTATTGATCTGTCCACCTAAAATATATTTTTGGTGAATAGGATGAGGATGAAAGAGGAAGGGAGGAGATGGCTGGATGACAGGATTGTTTTTAAATAAGAAGTTAATGTATGAAATCCTCATTTTATAATATATCCAAGCTGTGACGTAGTTTATTTTGACTAGTAGACGTTCTGAATGGCCGGTAACTTAATTTAGTAGCCAAATTGGCAGGTGAGTGGAAAAGAATTTCAAATCCTGCCTGTAACATGTATGCCATGTGTTGGTTCTGTTTTCCCTGTGCCTGTCATTCAACCCAGTTTCCCAGAGTGTCTGATTGTTGTATTCCTATCACCTGTTGCTCCATTTACTCTTAAGCCCTGAATTTTCCTCTGTTTTTTGTCCTGTCTCGTCATCTTCAGTCCCGCCGGCTCCGCCTACATTCTCAATGTCCCCGGCTCCACCTACGTCCTCAGTCCCCCCGACTCCCCCTATGTTCTCAATCTCCCCGGCTCCGCCTACATCCTCAGTCCCACAGGCTCCGCCTACATCCTCAATTCCACCTGCTACGCCTACATCCTCAGTCCCACATGCTCTGCCTATAACCTCAGTCCCAAAGGCTCCGCCTACATCCTAAGTCCCACTGGCTCCACCTACCACCTCAGTCCCTTAGGCTCCGCCTACATCCTCAATTCCACCTGCTACGCCTACATCCTCATTCCCACATGCCCTGCCTATAACCTCAGTCCCACTGGCTCCACCTACCACCTCAGTCCCATAGGCTCCGCCTACATCCTCAATTCCACCTGCTATGCCTACATCCTCAGTCCCACATGCTCTGCCTATAACCTCAGTCCCAAAGGCTCCGCCTACATTCTAAGTCCCACAGGCTCCGCCTACCACCTCAGTCCCACTGGCTCTGATTTTTAATTCACTTTGCTCTGGGCTTTTAGTCCAAAAGTGTGCTCATCAGATGAAAACGAATGGATTATTGTACTTTTATTTCAAATCTCTCTCGGAAACACTATTTTTTTTCTCTTTTTACCCAAAATTGGATGAGAAATCAGCTCCAGGAAATCCCTAATATGGACAAAGACATTCAGCAATTGCTGTAGCTGAATAAAACACAGATAGGGACACTTTGACTGATTATCTGTGTTCTTCAAGCCCATCTCAGGGATTTTTATAATGCAATAGTAATTGAGATCCTTTATCACGGTATACAGTAATATAAAATAATATCATTTGTTTTTAATTTCTATTTGACTGATAGCATTATTTTCAGCTATAGAAAGATTTCTATAGAAATTACAATATATTATATTTATTGACCTCAAACATTTGAACGGTAGTGCGTATCAGATATTAGTTACTTTATATTGTGATTTAATTTGAATGGAAACTAAATCTAAACTGGAGCACACAGAAAATGGAACCAACAAACACACACTACTGTTCGGTAGTTATGGGGTCAGTAAGATTTAAAGAAATCAAATAATTAATACTTTTATTGAGCAAAGGTGCATTAAATAAGATTAAAAGACAAAATAGACATATAATAAGTTATATACATACTTTTTTTGTCTTTTTTTAATTGAATTTTGGATTCAGTTTTGGATAAATTCTGTTTTGGATAAATGCAATGTCTTTTAACTGGTGGTGCCCTAATCATTTGCGGATGAGCCCAAGACAAATAAGCCTCTGAGAGATTGCGGTCCTCTAACAGTGTGTGTTTGCTTCACTGCGAGTGTGTGGTCTCTTACAGCGCTCTTGGGCAGGGTCTGCCTGTGGTCGGTGATGTAGCAGTGGATGAGCCCGCCGAGCACCGCCAGCACACACAGACACAGCGCAGACGGCAGCACTCCTCCCAGCATGGCAGCCAGCAGCTGATCTCTGAACGGGTCTACAGCACAGAGAAAACATCAGCGTCAGCTTACACACACACACACACACACACACACACACACACACACACAGGAGGAAGTCCAGCTCAGAGCACGCTGGGAAAACACCTCAGTTACAGCCATGCATATTATGCACGAACTGATAAAGGGTTTAAAGCAACAGCAAAGATTTCCTTAACTTGTCCTATCATTAATGTCAATCAAATACTGCTCAAACCTGTTCACCTGACAATCTGAAAGTGAAAACACGAGAACCCTTCACGGGTTGATGGTGGTACCTTTGGGAGTCTCGACGCACAGTTGCTCGCTGGGTTTGTAGTCCAGAGGGAGCGTCTTGGATTTGGCATAAACCACCACGCAGAACCGTGTGGAAAAGTCCAGAGGGCCCAGCCTCACGCTCCCGTTCGTGAGATGCATGTGATTCTGGGGGAAAACAACCAGCTTATTTCGGCTGAGTGACCCACACTCTTTAAAAACAAAGGTTCAACATGGGTTTTTCACAGTGATGCCATATAGGAACTTTATTGTGAACAGATATTAAAGTCCCCCTGTGGGGAAAATCCAGCTTTTAAATGTTTATAAAGTTGTTTATATGTCTATGTGGTGTTTTTAATACGCTTTAAGACAAACAATGTGTGAATTCATAAGTCGACACGGTTTGAAATCGCTGGTGTTTCTGACATCATAAACGACCTTGTAACCAATCAGATCAACGTGTGATCGTCAACCAGTGGATCTCTGAGCTGAGTGAGTGAGTGGAGGCGGGGCTGATTTGCATATTCATAGAACCGTGCATACTTAATGAGGCAAGGGTGTCGAGATACATTCAAGGAAAAAACGTTTAAATATGTAATTTTGGTGAACAGAGTTTTAAGGGATCAATTAAACAGGGGAATTTTAACCATTTTCTTAGTGTGAAGAACATTTTAAACACCGTTTTCCATTGTAAAGAACCTTCTGGAATAAGTCAAATGTTCTTGATGAAACCACCGATGCAAATAAAGCTTTATTTATTCTCAAACACTCACTGTGTGATTGCTCCTGCTGTTGAACACAGAGAGGTCATAGATCATTTCAGAGAAGATCTCCATCAGCGAACTGTCTTCCTTTGTCCTCTTAGTTCTCCATCTGAAGGGCCCCTTTATGGTGACGTTCATGTAGTTGTGCAGCAGATTCACTTCCACATGCGGCGGCCCGATAACCGCTGCGGGACAGAGATTGAGGATAATCATTTGCCTTTATGAGGGCCAGAGTTCAGTGACAGCAGCCTTGTGTTTGCTTTCACCTGCGATTACTTTAATCACACATCTAGAGAAGCAATACACCGGCTCCACCTACACATGTATACACATGTAGAAAAGGCATAATTGAGAAGTAAACGAGAGAAAGAGTCCGCACAAATTGTACACAAAGCCATCTCTACACCCCAGTGTGAAACATTCCTGCACCTGAACAATTCAAACATCGTGTGATCAATCCTGAATCACTGCATTCCAGCACGACTATCCTTCAGTGTAAAGGGTGTTGCAGGGTTGGACTGGAGACACAAATACTCTAAATTAAAGGATTAGTTCACTTTTAAAAAAAACTTTTGCTGATAATTTACTCACCCCATGTCATTCAAGATGTCCATGTCTTTCTTTCTTCAGTCGAAAACAAATTAAGGTTTTTGAGGAAAACATTCCAGGATTTTTTTAAGACACGAATCAAGCGAAACGATCGCTCATTTAATTAAAAAAAAGTTTAAGCTTTATAAGCTCAAATGCTCGCCTTGCTCTGTTCTGTTATGCGTGTTTGTGACTCTCCTGTTCGAACTCGTTCATCAAAATGAACAAATCTTTTTCCGAGTCAACTCATTCGTTGCGTTCGTTGAATGAACCAAACGACTCAGAAAAAGATTTGTTTATTTTGATTTACGAGTTCAAACAGGAGAGTCACACAAAACAGAGCAAGGTGACCATTTGAGCTTATAAAACGTAAACTTTTAAAAAAAAAAAGTTTCGCTTGATAAGACCCTCATTCATCGTCTGGTGTCGTTTAAAGCCCTTTGAACAGTTTGCACTGAAACTGTCTTTTGGACCTTGAACCGTTTGGTTCCCATTGAAGTCCATTATATGGAGAAAAATCCTGGAATGTTTTCATCAAAAACCTTAATTTCTTTTCGACTGAAGAAAGAAAGACATGGACATCTTGGATGACACGGGGGCGAGTAAATTATCAGCAAAAGTTTTCAAAAGTGAACTACTCCTTTAACTATAGAATCCTTAAATTATGCGTTTCTCAACATAATAAATGACCCCAATTATAGGTTTACAATTTGTGAAACAAGCTCAAGTCTTTGTTGAACACATGTTTGTTGTGAAAGCTCAGATTTCTCTGTTGACTGGTGTGAAACTGCAGAAGCTTAGCTGCTTCACATACTTCACATACCACATACAATAAACTCTCGACAGGCTGATCTGAACTCAAAGTTTATTGTGCAATAACCGGCCGGCCCGGCTGTCCATTATCCCACTCATTTACATAGCAATATTGATTTGAGTTTAAATTATTTTATACTTTTATTACACACGAATGGAAGCGAGGAGTGCCCAGGAAAACTGAATCAACGTACCTGATCAAACTGTGTTTATTTTGCACTCTCTGTACGTTACCATGCTTATAAAAATCAATGAATAAATATTTTGAAATGAAATACGGATTTTAAAGTCGTGATGAATCAGAAGCATCATCGGTTCTTTTCTTCCATTTTGTGACGTACAAAAAAGGCGGGGCTTGGTTCCATTCAGCCTTACAGAGACTCAGGAAGAGCTTCAACTTTCAGACATTTCTGTTGTTGTTGTTGTTGTTGTGGAGTCACATTGATTAACTTTTACTCAGGTTGATACAGTTCCCTGAGGTGTTTATAAAACAGCGTTTTGGTCAAATAGCGTTCAGTGCTCGTCTGTGCAGCAACGACAGAACAGTTTACACTGTTGTAAACCCAGTGGCGGCGGCGTGTGTGTATACGTACAGATTAAGGGCCGGTAATATTATAATAAGATCCTCTTCCTACATCAGAAGGGGAGCGAAATCTGATCGGCTTATTTTGTGACATGCTTGCAGAGAAAGGCTGACCAAAACAAAGTTGTCAATATTCATGTTTTCTGGGTCGGTAGAAGTGCCCGGGACCCGGTTATAGCACTTACACACGGAAAAGGCAGTCCCCTTTAATAAACAGTGATAAAGTACCAAAACAGAAGTGGTTAATCAGTCACTCACTGTCGAGAAATGGATCGAATCTGTGTGTGCTCTCGCTCCAGAGGGAGTGTGTGTGTGCGCTGACGGCTCGGACTCTGGCGTAGTACTGCTCATGCAAATCAGAGGTCTCCTGAGACACGTCACACTCGGTGTGTGTAATGGATCTGCACTGCTTCACACGCCTCCATCGCAGCCGCCCACTGCCGATCGTCTCCTCCTCGCCGTATCTGCAGGACAACAGCGGTTCAGGTGTCACTACAGGTTCAGGAGAGCAGAAAAATATTCCTTCGTCTAGCTTGAACCATTCACACAACTATCCAACGAACATTCGCAAACAGCATCGCAGAGGTGTGTGTGTGTGAGCGACAGATCTCGAGCTGTGGTTTGAAGCTGAGTTTCTTCTTTGCTTGACATGTGGACTCAATAAATCCTGATGTTGTGCCAAATAGGCAAGCTGACATTCAGTGCAGCCTGTGTCTTTCATTTAGAACACATACCAATGTCATTTACGTCTTTGAGTTTGTCATGAGATTTAAAGGGTTGTTTGTAAAGAGTGCGCATGTGTGAACGAGCTCTAGTGTGTAAGAACGAGACTATGACTGAATAGTCGTCCGATGCCATGTCTGTAATTTATAGCAAAACATCTAGCGTTAATTCGATCTCAAACAGATCCATTAACAGTAGTTATTCCTCCACCACGCGGATGAACGACCAATTTGCGCGAATTTGGTTTCGGAAACAGTCGTGACTAGCTAGTTGTATTCTTCAGCGAGTTACGACAATGTGTGGGAAACACACCGTGAACAACAGCTCAAACTCTGGAACTTTAATAAGGATTCATCTAAATTTCATTTCTACAATGAAAGCTATGCAGTGGCATTTTAAAAATAACAGTTGGCTCTTTTCTTTGCATTAAGTGTAAATAATAGTTACTATTTGCACCATAGTATTTTAGTACATTATGAAACTGTGCAATAATAACAGAGTTTAAATGACCTCGCATCTACAACTCGCCTCACTCTGCTCCGCCACTGCGCACGCTACAGGCGTTCACCGCGTCTGTCCCGGCTGGACACTGGAGGCGGAGTTAGTGTAGATTGCCTGTCCCGGCCGGACACTGGAGGCGGAGTTAGTGTAGATTGCCTGTTTCGGCCGGACACTGGAGCAGAGTTAGTGTAGATTGCCTGTTCCGGCCGGACACTGGAGGCGGAGTTAGTGTAGATTGCCTGTTTCGGCCGGACACTGGAGCAGAGTTAGTGTAGATTGCCTGTCCCGGCCGGACACTGGAGGCGGAGTTAGTGTAGATTGCCTGTTTCGGCCGGACACTGGAGGCGGAGTTAGTGTAGATTGCCTGTTCCGGCCGGACACTGGAGGCGGAGTTAGAGTAGATTGCCTGTTCCGGCCGGACACTGGAGGCGGAGTTAGTGTAAATTGCCTGTTCCGGCCGGACACTGGAGGCAGAGTTAGTGTAAATTGCCTGTTCCGGCCGGACACTGGAGGCGGAGTTAGTGTAAATTGCCTGTTCCGGCCGGACACTGGAGGCGGAGTTAGTGTAGATTGCCTGTCCCGGCCGGACAGTGGAGGCGGAGTTAGTGTAGATTGCCTGTTCCGGCCGGACACTGGAGACGGAGTTAGAGTAGATTGCCTGTTCCGGCCGGACACTGGAGGCGGAGTTACTGTAGATTGCCTGTTCCGGCCGGACACTGGAGGCGGAGTTAGTGTAGATTGCCTGTTCCGGCCGGACACTGGAGGCGGAGTTACTGTAGATTGCCTGTTCCGGCCGGACACTGGAGGCGGAGTTAGTGTAGATTGCCTGTCCCGGACACTGGAGGCGGAGTTGACAATACTGTATTTTTGTTCTGTTGCATGTTGCAAAACAATGATACTGACATATTTTAAGATTTCAGTTAAAACAGCTCATGCATGCATTAATCGCGGACTGTGAACCCTGGGGATAGTCTATGAATCTGTGAAATATTACTCGGCTCACAAACTGTTCCAATTGCCTATGGAAGTATGTATATTCAGATGCAGGGATTCAGACGAGCCTAAACACTTCTCATGCTGACCGTGGCTGAGTGCTCCTCTACTGAACTGAACAGGCTGTGTTTGATTTGACTCACTTGGCATATTCCACAGAGAAGACGGTGTCATTGGGAGATCCTTCCCCTGGCGTCCACTTGACTATGTTCCTCAGGTTCACGGAGGTGAAGTGGACGTTTCCAGGCTCCGGCAGTCTCTCCACTGATGCTGTGTAACAGATAAACCACAGAATATTCTCTCTTATTATTATGCACATTACTGACTTGTTGGATTGTTTCCAAAACTTCAAAGTGAGTGGCAGCAGGAAACAGTGAAGTTCAGGCATTGTTGAAATAAATCAGATTTCATGAAACCACAGGAAGAGGCACAAGGGTGTCTGACGGGTGAATCTGCTTCCTGTTGTTCCACAACACCAACAGATCATCACACACTTACAACACACACCACAGAAACCCAGAGGATCATAACAAAGATCAGCACATGTTACTGTGAACGATCCCGTGCTGTAAAACAGGCTTTATGTGGTTATATCTCCATCATAAAACATGCACAGCTTGGGAGAATGCACAGCTTGTTTCCGCCACAGAATAAAAACATTTATTAAAAACTTTATAGGCTATCATGCAATTCTGACTTTTTTTCTCGGAATTGCGTGAAACATTGAGACAGAAAGTCACAATTATTTGTTTTTTTTTATTTATTTGAACTTATTCCCAAATAAAAAGCTACAATAGAAACACATTTCTTGAAATATCTCCAAACAGACTTGAAATGACAGATATTTGTTGGTTCATATAGTCTACATCAGTGGTTCTCAAAGTGGGGTCCGCGGACCCCTGGTGGTCCGCGAGCTAAAGCCAGGGGGTCCGCGAAATAATTTACAACCTAACGTTTTTTTCCATGCTATGAGTCATGTTTTCTTTATCATCTGAAAACATGCTGTTTATTTCTAAGTAACTTATATAAAGCATTTAACATAAAACAATACAAAGTAGACACTTAAAGTTTTCTATAGATAGATAATCTATGTCTTTGCGTCAAGTAGATTCGCTGCTGTTGATTTTGCGGGACGTGCGCCAGAAAGGAGACAGAGAGACGGCATGAACCCGCATCCGGTTCTTTTCTGTATTTTTAAAAGGCATTACATTTTGTAGTCATTTATAATGTAGCCTATACACAAATAAAAAATGGACACTTTACCGTTTCGGATGATGCACTCTTGTCTTATCTATGACCATAAATAAGAGTATTCCTGTTTCCACTGCTGAGGAAAAATTCCCATGTAATTGCGCGCCGGCGTCTCGCGTGCGCGCACAATAGTCAGTTCTAGCACTGCTACTGTAGATTTGACATTAGAAGTCTGATCATTATCAAAATAAAAGTGCATAGTGACAGGGCCGTACCCACAACTGAGGTTGCAAGGATGCACATCGCGATGATAACTGACCTTCTCGTCTGAGGTGCTTCAGCAGACTAACAACGATAGCTCGTCAATGTCAAAATGTTTGAGTCGGAGTGAACTCAAAGTTCCCCGCACGACGTTTCAGTCAACGGTCATAAAGTGCGAGATAAGATGTAGGCCTTAATTAACATAAACTAAACAGCTGTTTTAGATAAAAGTTTTAAAAAACGACTAAAACAATCAGTTTGCAAAGTATTAATCAAGCTCAACTTTAACAAAGGAAAAAGCAGGTCAATAGAAACATACTGTGCCCATGAGATTAACATTATGGATTCATATATTTAACATATACTGTATGTTTTTTTTAGCTAATTACAGTAGCTCAAATTAACAACGCACGCACCTATTAAACATAATGCCATTATCATTGTATTTATAGGCTTATGGGCTTTATTTGTGTGCAGAATAGGCCTAATTATTGAAACATTTCTCTTTTAAGGCCATTCCTGATTGGAATATGTGATTGTGTTTCGTGACATCTTGACAAAAAAAAAAATGTATGCCACTGACTGACATGCTTCTACTAAATCTATAGTTATCCAATTGTGGGGCCTTAAAACACCTTAAAATGCACATGTGTAGATCAAGAACATCAAAAATTCCTAAGTGAGGGATCCTAAGTGATTCCTAGCAAGATCACTTTCGTTACCTCAGTAGGCTATTTAGAAATTCCTGCATAGTACCCTGGGTGGAGACCATTCATTTTGTGCAAAAATATTTCATTTGCCGCTCACACATTAACTTTGTGCTCAATAACTGTTATAAATATGAGGGGGGTCCTTGGAATTTTTTTTCCCCTGAAAGGGGTCCCTGGCACCAAAATGTTTGAGAACCCCTGGTCTACATCAGTCATTCCCAAAGGCGGGGTCCCGACCCACAAGTGGGTCGTGGAAGATTTTGAATGGGTCGCCATGTCGAGCACTATTTTTCAGAGTGCTATAGCTATATACTCTCTAGATCAGGGCTATTCAATTGGCGGCCCGCGGGCCAAGTGCGGCCCGCCAATCATCTCCATAGGCTACGACCCGAGGGCACCCCAACCTCCCTCCTCCTATTTTCTGGTGGTGCGGCTAAATTTGGTTAGATATGCGCGTGGCCGCAGTGGCGCGCGCACTGTGTGTGTACCATGAGCGCTCCGACTGACCTGAGAGAAACGTTTACAGTCCGAATATTTCAGCAGTTATTATGTGTGTCCCGTATTTCTGTCGACTGAACCAGCGATATTAAAAATTCGTTGGTTTGATTATTTCCTTTCCATGAATTGGCCAAACGCGCATGCATAACAGTCTGAAACGATTCGGATTCGTTCACCTGAAGCGGTTTCTCGGTCAGTAACAACAAATAGAGAAAAAAACGCGCTGGTTTCAGTTGTTTCACTAGTTTACTTTGAACTAGGCAGCACGGGCCAGTGGATAACAAAACGCAAAGCTTAAAGGAGTCGCGTTTACTCCCGGTCCCTGACACTATTATTAAACAGCGTTGTGACCAAGGGGGTAATCCATTAGCCGGAAGCTGAAGCTGCCTCCGGGGGCCGCCATTGTAGCGTACTATCACCTGCTGTTAGCATCCCATTGACTCCCATTCATTTTGGCGTCTCTTTGACAGCGAATAACTTTACATCTAAGGCGTCCAAAGACTCCATTTATCCATTATTTATTTCTAAAGAAACACGACAATGTATAAAAAGGCTCCATTATTTATGCCCATGGCATAAATAGAAGCAAAATGACAAAATAACTAATCAGAATACTTACCAAAAGTTGCTCCAGGTCGCGTTTCGCCGTCTCTGTGCACGATTAAAACTTTTTTTTTTCACTTTTTTCGCTCAGTTTGAGCCTGCGCAGAACGCTTGGCTATCAGGAAGTGAGTGCCCATGTTGAGCTTCAGCTCTCTCCGTTGAAATCAATGGGGTCGCTGTGTCCAATTCTTTTACTGTCTATGGTTGTGACATCTAGTGAGAAGCGTTTCAATCGGACACTCCTCTCTCTTACAAACCACAAATCACTCAATGATTTCATCTAGTTTTAAATCGGATGAAACCTACGCTTTCTGAAACATTCGCAATAAATGTGGAATATTTATATTGAATACTATGTTATAGTCATTTATATTGCATTATAGATTTATTAGGGAGGTAGAGGAATATAATTATTTGTGTGTATAGTTTTTTACCTGTTTAGGCATTTTTTTATACAGTGGTAGTGAGCCATGCATGAATGATTACAAAGTCTCACTGTCAGGATATTTTAACTTAAGCCTATAATAATTATTATACTAAATAGTGTACACTGTAATGAGAATATGAAAACAATGAGATGCCATGTCAACTCTTCCTTTCTCATTTCACCTCTGCATTTCGCTAATTGTCAACAACAGGTTAATAAAAAAAAATTGTGCTTTGTCAAATATCTGTATCTCTTTTAAATAGTTAACTCTAAGCTTAACTGACCTTAAAAATGGTCATATTTTGTTAATACATACATTCTCTTTGTGATATATGAACTATATGGGCCTTATGTTTATTGGGTCACAAAGATTTATCGACTTTAAAATGTGGGTCCCCAGAAAAAAAGTTTGGGAAACACTGGTCTACATTGTTATATTATTTAGTAATCACATAACTACGATATTAATAATGGCTTATAGGTTAGACTCTCCATCACATAATGAACAAGCGACATTATAAGTAACATACTTAAAATATATAAAGCAGTCGGATCGCAGACGACGTGCCGCGAGAAGAGAGGGAGAGACAGAGAGACGGTGAGATTTACCTGTCGCTGCTCTCGAGAGCAAACACAGCGCGATCACTAACACGGTCTCCATAGCTCCACACGCGTAATCCTGATCATTCTGTCCTGATGTTGACTCTGGTGAAAGCTGGAGTCCTCTACATGTCTCTGGAGCTGAAGGAGCGACCGCAGCTCTCGGCTCTCAGGTACAGAGTCCCTCACCTCGCCTCATCTGCTTCTGCACGTGACCCGCCCCAGCCAACCGATGCAGCGGCGTGGGTACAGTTTCTTAGTAACGCCAACATGACCTAATTAATATTCATGAGACAAGTCTTCAAAATTGATTGAGCTGTTTCCTCCTCGGTGGTAGTTCAGTAGCGTTGTGTGTGTGGTATGACAACAGACTGGTTATACTGGTGTGTCTTCATACCTTGTTGTTCATTACAAATGAATGACAATGACATCTATCTATCTATCTATCTATCTATCTATCTATCTATCTATCTATCTATCTATCTATCTATCTATCTATCTATCTATCTATCTATCTATCTATCTATCTATCTATCTATCTATCTGATTATTGGATTGTTAAACTGAGCTGAAAATGAATGGTCATCATGTGACTGCGATTTGTGATATTATGGGTGATGATCTGATCCTTCATAGTTCTCATCATTGTATTCAGTCAAAATAACAGCACATGTAGACATAGTTCTCCTGTCTGGGACATGAAAGTAAAAACACTTGCTGAAGTACAAAAGATCTGTACTCTCTCTCTCTCTCACACTCTCTCTCTCTCTCTCTTTTACATGCAAATAAGAGGAAATGGTTTCACACCAATTAGTCACAGACGAGTGAGTGAGTGCCACAGGGAACTTTACTATTAGTCAATATCAGCTTCAAAGATCCAATTACACAAATAAATGTTCTCTTGCAGTGGTTATCCATATTAGTTTAGTTTCAGAATTGTTTGAATGAATGTATCCTTCAATTAAAACTAGCAGTAAAAGTAATTTGTAATATATGTTTTGTATATCAACAACCTCGGGACTGTCACATCACTGTCAGCACTGGCGCTCCTGGGGACGTGTGCTCGCTCCACTGCTGTCCTCCCTGTCCATGAACACCACACTGCACAAGACCCTTCAGGTGGAGTCCTGAGTGTGCCGACGACTCATCCGCCTCGTCCAGGACGGTGACGAGTCTGCCTAAAGACTGGAGGTTGAGCTGGTCGTCTGGTGCAGTTATCTGAACACACTCACACAGTGGAGACGATGTTGGACTGCTGCAGGAGAAACACCCTGCATTATTCCCACATGAACCGTGCCAATCTGGGCCAGAGTCAGTCCGAGTCTCAGGCTCCGGCACCACCACATCTCAGGGCCCGAAGGGTCCTTGAAAATACAAGGTCTTAAGCTTTGTATTTTTTAAAGAAGATTTATTAATAAAGTAAAGGCATAGAACCAATGCATTTGTAGTGTTTTATATAATTCGTTTTATAATGAATTAATAAAAATAAAGTTTAATTAATGAAAAGACAAAAAAGACCTTGAAATATGTTTGGTAATTGAACCTGAATGAATTTAAAATTAATATGCTATATTTCAGACCAATACATTATTTTTTTCTTCAAATTTGACTGAATAACTTTATTCTCATCTGAATTATAAATAATTTATTTCTGTATAAAATAATACTACCATTAATACTCCACATTTGATTTTCTATTTGAATCAATGTAGAATGTGTAACTTTCAAATAAACAAATTAGTGCTCTGTTTGAGGACAAGAAATGAAAACCAACTGATTGTGATGAATACGTTTGCTTTTATAATAAACGTGGAATAAATTTGCTTTTAAACAGTGTGTGTGTGTGTGTGTAAGAAAAACCCCACACGAATATAAGTAAACACTTTGCAGTTTGAATGATGTCCTGTATGAACTAAATGATGGAATATGTTTTTATGTTTCCTTTGTTTGATCACGCCTGCGCCTCACACACACACTGTAAAAAATTGTAAGCCAGTACAACAAAAAAAAGCTTAGTACCAATTTCCTTCAGTTTTTTTTTGTTTACTCAACTTTTGTAAATATTAGTTATACTAACTGAAATTAAGTTGTCACTCACACAAAAAATATTTAATTGTGTCAACTTAAGATTGTTAGTTTTGTGGAGAGGTGCAACTATTTTTTAACAAAACTTTTTAAGTTGAGCCAATTCAACATTTTTGGTCTGTAGAACTCAATGTCTTTTGTTGAGTGAACAAAAAAATCCTATTGGAAATTGGTACTAAGTAATAATACGTTACGACTGGAAACTAAAATAACATTGCTTAAGTCAAAAACTGAAAACAGTGAGTCAATGTTAACAAAACATTTATTCTTGTTGGAGGCAACAAGTACACTTACAAACTGTTATAAAACTGTAAGTGTAATTTGCAACACTGCAAATTGAAATAATAAAATACTGCATCACAGTAAAACAGTTTTACAAAACACTGCCAATGCACATGAGGAACACAATCTTTCCAAATTTAAAAGACCATCCATCTACAAAGAAATGTATCAAGTAAACATGAAACATTTAAAGGGTTAGTTCACCCAAAAATGAAAATTAAGTCATTAATTACTCACCCCCATGCTGTACCAACCTTCGTTCATCTTCGGAACACCAATGAAGATATTTTTGATTAAATTTGAGAGCTGTCTCACTACCACATTGGCTGCCCAAGGGACTGGCTCTTGACGGCCCAGAAAGTCAATGAAGAAAATGTTTAAATATACCATGTGACTACCGTGGCTCAATTATAAGTTTATCAAGTGACGAGAATACTTTTTGTGCGAAAAAACAAAAATAACGACTTTATTCGACTATTCCTTTTCTTCATTGTTGGCCTGGAAACGAGACTTCCTTAGATTTCCACGACGCATGCGCGAGAACTGAACTGAAGTAGTTAAAGGAGATCGCAATTCTCGCGCATGCGTCGTGGAAATCTAAGGAAGTCTCGTTTCAGGCCAACAAGGAAGAAAAGGAATAGTCGAATAAAGTCGTTATTTTTGTGTGTTTTTTCGCACAAAAAGTATTCTCGTCGCTTGATAAACTTATAGTTGAGCCACGGTAGTCACATGGGATATTTAAACATTTTCTTCATTGACTTTCTGGGCCGTCAAGAGCCAGTCCCTTAGGCAGGAAATGTGGTAGTGAGACAGCTCTCAAATTTAATCAAAAATATCTTCATTTGTGTTCTGAAGACGAACGAAGGTCTTACAGGGTTGGTGCAGCATGGGGGTGAGTAATTAATGACTTAATTTTCATTTTTGGGTGAACTATCCCTTTAAATATCACCTGAATCAACAAATATCAAGTAAACGAATAAGCATTTGGCCTTTTTAGAGAATTCAACCCAGTACAAGTCGTAAACATTCAAAATATTTAAGCCAAAGCGATTCAACAATGAAAATTGAAATACTGCAAGTTAAAGGACAACTCCGGCGCAAAATGAACCTTTGGTCTAATTACACATTGTTACCTATTCAACCGTTATCTGAGATTTGTTTTCATGATTGCCGAATGTAAATAGTTTTATCTCTAAAAACAGTTTAGCCTATTATGCTAGTATAACGCTAGTATATAGGGCATAGAGTAATGACAAATAAAAATCGCTTGTTATTACCACTAACAAGGCTCAAAATAGCCCCACACTAACACGATAGCATAATAAGGGTCCCTACATTCAAACCGAAGCATTGAGAACTTTGTCAGTGTCCATACAGTTTAATAAGAAGATATTTTATACACACAGTCAACTCGCGAATACAGGAAGAAGCCATCTTTAAAAAAAAGTCTCTACCAGTCGATCTACGAACGCCGATCCAAGTGCGCTGAACTGTGCAGAATCTCATATGGTCCGTTGTTTCAGGAAGAAACACAAACATGAACCGTTTTCTTCTCTTCAATATGTACACGTAGACTACTGTTCGCGCTCACCTTATCACCTTGTTCACATCTCACCAGCGCACTTGGATCGGCGTTCGTAGATCGTCTGGTAGAGACTATTTTTCAAAGATGGCTTCTTCCTGTATTCGCGAAGTTGACTGTGTGTATAAAATATCTTCTTATTAAACTGTTTGGACACTGACAAAGTTCTCAATGCATCGGTTTGAATGTAGGGACCCTTATTATGCTACCGTGTTAGTGTGGGGCTATTTTGAGCCTTGTTAGTGGTAATATTTGTCATAATACATTTTTATTTGTCATTACTCTATGCCCTATATACTAGCGTTATACTAGCATTATAGGCGAAACTGTTTTTAGAGATAAAACTATTTACATTCGGCAATCATGAAAACAAATCTCAGATAACGGTTGACTAGGTAACAATGTTTAATTATACCAAAAGTTCATTTTGCGCTGGAGTTGTCCTTTAAAGGGATAGTTCACTTTGAAATTAATTTTTGATATGTTTTATCTTACCTCAAGGGCATCCAAGATGTAGGTGTCTTTGTTTCCACAGTATTTTCAATTTTGACATTTTTCAGTCAAACCGTTGTTGTCTATCAGTCATACACTGGAGGCTAAGGGGGTCCACCAAAAAGCATGCACAGAGAAGTCCAAATTAAACATGATTTAATGACTCGTAAATGTAAGTACACATTGATGGCCTAAGACACGAAACGAGCGGTTTGTGTGAGAAAACCAACAGTATTTATATCGTTTTTACCTCGTGTAATCACAGTGATCTGAATCAGTTGTTCAATGTCCAACTGAACCAGTTCAATGTTATGCCGGAAGTGATCGCTTGCGTGTGACGTCACTCAATATCTACACGGAGATTTCGGAAGTTTAACCTTTTACTAAACATATTTAGATATACCGAAATAGTCTTCCATTGCGATTTCCCGTATATCTAAATATGTTTAGTCTTATCTAAAGAGTGAAGTAGGCGCGCAAGCGATCACTTCCAGCGCATGCGCAGACCGAAGCGCCCGTGCCATCAGATCATTTTGCCATGGCTATGATTACAAGAGGTAAAACGATATAAATACTGTTAGTTTGTGTCTTAGGCCATCAATGTGTACTTACATGTACGAGTCATTAAGTCATGTTTAATTTTGACTTCTCTGTGCATGCTCTTTGAGGTGAACCGATTAAGGACCCCCTTCACCTCCAGTGTATGACTGATAGACAACACCGGTTTGACCTAAAACATATCAAAAATTAATTTCAAAGTGAACTATCCCTTTAAACACTGCTGTTAAAACAGTATTACAAAACACTAACACTGAGTATCGATTCAACCATGAAAATTGAAATACTGCAATAAAACAGTATTACAAAGCGCCAACACTGAATATGAAACGTAGCTGAACAGTAGCAAATGTAAACATTTTAGAGAATTCAAGGCTAAGTCTTTAAAATTCAAATTTCACTAAACAATATACATTAACATCCTAACAAACAACATCATTATGCCAAAGGTACCCACCAACAGTAAAATCATCTAAAACTCCCTAAATAGCAAGTAGCTCATTCTTTAGGGACTGGACTCTGTTGGTGCACTTTTCTCCAAATCCCACAAAGATGTTCTGCACTGCCTCAAATGTGTATTTTAGTCCTTTTGAATACTCAAAGTTCACCGCATAGAGAAGTCCAAAGAGTACCATGAAAGCAGTAGGAAAGTCAGGTAGGTCCTCCATGACGACGGTTTCCTCAAAAATGATGGCGAAGTTTAGACATGTCTTTGTTGTCTGTGAGATATCGTCCTCTATTTCTTTCAAATCAGTGTCCTAAGAATGATATAAATTTCATTAAAAAAAATGGTTGTGCATATGAAAAAAAAACAAACAAAGCTCAAACTCTTGCAAACAAAACATGGCACTCTGACAAGCAGGACAAGGATAAGAGCCATGTGATCAAGCTCACCTGCCTCGTTACTCACAAAAGGAGGTCCGGATGAATAAAAGGAAGAGCGAGAACAGTGCAAGATGAGTGAAGACCAGGCCTGGATTATTTATGTTACGTTTTATTTATGCGTCTCTTGACGAGTCCCTCACAGAGGACTGCCGCTCAAACATAAACAAAACGTAACGTAAATAAAAATCTGTTTAAGAAAAAAAAAAAAGACAAACGTGAATGATCAGTTTCATGAAAGGCAATTTAATGAATGAACAATGAATTTGCACTGCAAAAAAAGCTTTTCTTTAATTAAAAATTAATATTTGTGTCTTGTTTCCAGTCCAAATATCTAAAAAGTCTTAAATCAAGATGCATTTACTAGATGAGTAAAATACTAGTAGAATAAAAGTAGAAAGCAAAAATAAGTGAGTTTTTGTTTAAAAAAAGCTAAATTATCCGATAAGAAAAATAAATTAATTCAAACAAAAACAAGAATATTTTTCCTATTCCATTGGCATACAATTTAGGTTTTTTTTAAATTAAAAATTCGATTAATTTATTTCCCCTGAAAACCAGACAAATTATCTTATGGCTTTACGCCTAACCTTACTCATCTAGAAAATGCATCTTGATTTGAGACTTTTTAGATATTTGGACTGGAAACAAGACACAAATACTAAAGAAGAAAAGCTTTTGTTGCAGTGTATAACGTTACCTAGGCTTATGCTTTTTATTTTTTTTTAGCGTATGACAACTGCTGCACAGAGATTTTTCAAAAATCATTATCTCTTCAGAAATGTATTAAATAATAATCAATATGTACTGTTGGAGCAATTAATCAGAATTCTCAGTTGCCCTTTATTATTAGCAGATGGAGAGAAATGTAATATGTTAAAGTCAAGAATGTGCGCGACTGAAAAAAATGATAACGTTACTGTGCAGCAAAAGCCATCACAACAAAAAACTTAACGTAAATATTTCACGTCACGTTAAAATAATGAAAAATAAAGCTTGATAGATTGATTAAAATCAAGCTAGATAGATTTAAACATTCGGTAATGTTGATATCTTACAATGTTAAAGTTAGTGGTGTTTATATATTTTTCTCCAAATTAACTAATAATCAACTAATTCAGAAGTAAAGTACAACAAAAAACAAATAAAAGCACTCACCATATATTTCTCCGTCTGGATTATTATCGCCCACGTGCTGCCTCTAGATTTTCTGTAAAATCTGTAAAGATTTTTCTTCGGCCGCTTGATGAACAACACGCCTGTTATTCTCAAGTTGTTTCTCCCGCATTAAAAAGTGAACGTTGACGTTGAGTCATAGCAAGTTTGAGCAAAGGTCACGTACTGGGGGCGTGGTTTGGCACGAGAGAAAAAAATAATGTTTCTCGGAAAACATGCTGCTAATTCTTTTTAAATGTATTTTTTTATTTAAATTTAAAATAAAAAGAACTCTTTGCTAGGCTAATTGTGTTATGTTCTGTCTGTGAACCCAATTACGCAAACTAGTGAGATGAGAGCTTTGGCGCCCACTAACGAACTTCACAGTAAAAGTCTTAATGCTTAATTAATGCTGCCTTCACGTGCTATCTTAAATTTCCTCCAGCTTTTGAAATCGTGATTTTGACTTGAGGTCAATTTTAAATTAATTTCCTTTTTATTATTTTTTTTCTCTTTTTTTTGATGAAGAAACTAATATTTATAAGAATTCCAATACCACGTAAAGGCAGCATCATTTCCAGAGTTCATAATATTGCTGTGCACAATATACTACTACTACTGCTGCTATTACTACTAATACTACTACTACTACTACTACTACTAATAATAATAATAATAATAATAATAATAATACATTATTATTATTGTACATTATCTGTATATTATTATTTATACAGTGGGCATTATTTAATTGACAATAATACTATTATTCAATTCAACTTTATTTTCAGACTTAAAGTCCATAAAATGTGTGCGTCTGTCTATCTATCTATCTATCTATCTATCTATCTATCTATCTATCTATCTATCTATCTATCTATCTATCTATCTATCTATCTATCTATCTATCTATCTATCTATCTATCTATCTGTTATTTTACAGCTATACATTAGGCTCAATGAAGTTATTTAAAAAAAATAACTAAACAACCATGTTTCTTCAATGTCACATAAACAAATTGTATTTGTATCAGTATTTGCTAGTGGGAGGGCAGTTACTAACTTAACTTAATAAGTTGGCGGAAGTTTTTTGGATGAACTAGCAAAACCTTTTTCACAAAACTAAACTTTTTAAGTTTATGGAAAGAAACTTGGTTTAGGTTGAATAAATGTATTAAACATAGTTGTGCTGACTTTTTCATAGAATTTTGCTGAGCCAGCACAACAAAACCAGTCATTTGAACCTTTTTCAAGTTGGGTTTTTTACAGTGCACACACACACACACCATATTCCAGCACTAATCTTGACATCGCAGCCCGTTCATTATAGCCGTATTAAATAGTCAACCAAACATATGAAAATTATACTGCTCAGTTTATATAGTCAGTAATACACTCCACTTGTGATCCCTGATAGCGCACGTACATCACAGAGACGTCTATTTGATGTGTGTTGACATCTGGAAGATGTGCTCATCAGCATAACATATAGGACATGTCAAATAGACATTTAGAAGATGTCTTTAAGATGTAATGATTTAGTATGTATGTTAAACTGACATCTTAAAGATGTCTATTAGATGTTAGTAAACAGCAGATGCTTTCCAGATGAAGTGATCTTTAACAGACATCTTGCAGACATACGTCGTGTGCTACCTGGGTATGTTTCCAAATGAAGAGGATGATTTTTTCCGTCAATATTGGAACATAGTAAAGAACAAAGCCTATAATAAAGAAAGGTTTACCATCCAAATACATTGAAAATGTTGAAACATTTCGATTCTAATGAGCGAGGTACTTGAGCCCAACGCCGCTCACTTTTACTTTCGCTTTAAATTATTTCATTTTGGCTTGTTTATAGTTATTTTTAATTCTTGTTCTGAATAAAAATAAATGTAAAGGATTTGTTGTGCAATATTTTAAGGTATTTTCTAATCATGCAGCAAACGATGGTAGGCTATCAATAGGTTAAAATTCTTACAGCGAGATCTACTTTGCGTTGCAGTCGCGTCAAGGATCAGCCAGTGCACGCGCATCATCAGAAGCGGTTGTTAGGAAAAGTGCTGAGCTGAATAATTGTGCTATCTGTGCACAACAGTGTTTTAAATGAGAATAAAGTCAAATGCGCCTTTAGCCCCATTTTACAAGTATTCTTAGGCCTATGGGTCACGTCAATAAAGAAAAAAGGGTCGCTCTTTGAAAACCACTACTCTAGTGATTTACTGACTAAGAAAACGTTGGGAGGAATGATATTTTAAACATAACACTAAACCGTTTAGGTGTAGCCAGGCGAGTTATTGATTCATTCATTCAAACGATTGGTTTAAACAACTGATTCATTGAAGTATAAAATTGTTAATTGAATCTTTGAATCAACCGATTCGTTCAAAATGTTAGATCATCAGTAATGAGAACACACAGCTTGAGTGTTCTGTGAGATGTGCGATGGTTTTGCTGTGTGATCTTTGTTTAGAACTATTTTCATTGCTGAAACAAAACAAAAACAGTCAATATTGCATCTACAATATAAGTGACCTAATTTTAACAGTTTATTGAACTGTTGTATGAATTTAAATCTAAATGATCTGGTGCCACCAGCTTGGGCCCGTAATCGCTGTTCAGTTATATTTATTCTTCTCCAAAGTGAATCGCTTTTTTGAGGGCCCAAATATGGTCAAACTCATGAAACTTTGCACACGCGCCAGAAGTGGTGATTTACATGTGATATGGGTTTCAGAACTAGGTGGGGCAAAATGTCCTTCCAAACCTTACACAACAGCTCAGAGCTCAACAGCTCATTTCATTTGCAACAAACCTGTATAGAAAAAAACAGATGCAGTGAATGCAATGAAATATAGCCTGCATTCGACGTAGAGACTTGCACTTATATCTTATTCAGTGTTAAATGATCTGTGAAATTTAGTGTTTGTGGAAATTACCATTCATCTGCCTTCTCATCGTAGCTCTCCACATTAGAGGTGGTGCTGAATCCATAAAGGCGCCGACAGCAAACAATGACTATTAAATACCTGAATTTTGAGGAAGTTAATAAGGAAAAAAAACAAAAAAAAACTAATGTACAGCTAATGTCATTAACTTTAAATTAATAGTAAATAGTGATGTGAGAAATGCACCAAAGCGACGGAAAAAAACTGTAAATCTTATCATACATGCAACCCTTCATTTAAACATAGTTGGAACTTTTTGACACACATTGATCTTTGAAGCCTTCTACGATTTTAGGGTGCAACTTTCCAATTATTCTCAATATGGGACCCAGAAAAATATTCCCCCATATTCATTATCATCAAATCATTTTTGTAACGTTACTTCAAAGTTTCACTAGATACAGATGTTGTCCGCATCACACCTCAATGCCAAAGTTGCTGTGTCGGTTGTACACTGATGAAACATCACTCCAGATGTTAGTCAGCGGATTGTAGGCCTCCGCACTCTGCAAACAACTGACTCCATCAAAACCACCAAATTAAAACAAATGTATGTATTCTGTGCATTTGGATATGCACATCCATGCATGCATTTCATAAGTGCAACCTTTAAACATCCTTCTATGTGTTTAATACTCATAAGCGATCACACCTACACCACTGCGGCGGCTACTCAAGGGAGCGATGAGAGTCCACTGGTTTGAGATGCTCGATCCCAGTAAAACCAGCACAGGTATAAATCTAACAAAAACAACAACAACATTTTACTGGATATACATGGTTAAAGTGTGTCTAGCAGGTAGATCAGTTGAGTGCATGAAATATATGACCGCGATTATGGGAAAGAGCATTTGAGAAATAGCTGAGCAACAGGAGTAATAAGTCAGCAGGTATGACAGTAGTGCAAGTGAAAGAGCTCCACTGTGCAATGAGGCATAGCGTAAGGGAGAGAAGCTGAAGACAGTTAGCAGGTGCATAGATCGAACAGTTGTTCAGAAAGGAGCAGTTTATGATATGAGTGTTTCAAGTTTTAGGGTTTTTGTCAGTCATTGGCGGCTGCGAACTGGCAAGATTGGGCGGCAGAATGTTGTGCAGGCTTTCGGAGTGATTAAGGCGATATACCTACTAGATCGTAAACTGCGAGTAGGTAGAGCGATGGTAACTAATGAATGGTGATCATGATCAACTAATGGATGATAGTAACTAATGGATGGTGTTCGAAATGTTGGAGGAGGCCTGTGTTCCAAACTCCTTTCAAATCACCATCAGCAGACGTGTGTGTAATGGTCATATCTTGTTCCAAGTGGTGGAGGAGGCCTGTGTTCTGAAGAGGTCCTGTTCAAAATTACGTTTAACCCACTGTGGTCAACCATCACGCCGGCGTGATTGTTTCTCTTTTTTTTCTTATCAGTGCAAAAGAGACTCAAATAACTATTTCGATGTTTGTGATACAGTCAAGTGTTATAGCTACTACATCAATCAAAACTGTTGTATGTGTACTTTTATTTGTGTGCACTAATAATAAAAACAAAATTGTGTTTTTTGTAAAATAAAGAAAATAAACATGATGCGCTTTCTCCCTTCTCTCTTGAAGCTCATTCTGAAACGTGACTAAAAATGATCTTTAAGTCAGCAAATACTTGTCACACACACGTGAGAGTTATGTCTTTACAAAGCTTTAAGTCTCAATTTTTAAATGATGTAAATCATACCAAAAACAAATATTCTCTGTTTAAGTAATCCGTATGAAAGCAACGACATTCTCCAGGCCGAGCTGATTAGCGCTAATGCGGTCACGCCCACACGCGCGCGAGCTGTTCATATTCAAATGATCCACACACAGCTGTTCCCGCCCTCATCATCAGCGACTCTGCTTTTCGTCGAGTTTGGAAGTTTTTAAGGTAAGACGCATAATAATACTCATCTTATGGTTGTATATAGCCTATTTTCCATTGTAGCTACTAGTTAAGCTGGTGCCAGACTAAAATGTTATAAAATGAGATTGGAGTTGTGTAGCTGCTATTTATCTGTTATTATTTTATATAGCCCTATACATTGGCTATAACAATGCACTTGGTGTTCATATATATTTAATAATTGTAACCAGAAAACTAAAAAAAATATTCCCAAAATTGTGCAGCCCTATAGTTTCTCTTGACATCAGCACGTTCACATGTGTTTATTTTTTACAGGGACCAATGCCACTGATGAGTCCTGATGACTTCAACATTCACAGGAGACTCTGTACATGAACATGGTAAAGTGAAAAATCAAACACCTTGGAAATGACAGGTATGATATGTTTCAGGAATGACACAAAGTGTGACTATTAAAGCACAAAACCAAAGAGCCACAAGGCCATGGGAGATGGAGAGTGGATGGCAAGATTGAGGGCTTTTGCCAGCTCTGGGGTTTGGCCTTCTGGAGGAGGAAATATGCTGCGTTCATGTGCTATGGTAATTATGGTAAATACCAAAAGCCGACGTGGAAAATGCACATGAACACCCCCTCATGTGGTATTTACCACTGGGCAACTCGTAGAATATTTCGATGGACAAGTTGCCGAGATGAGATAACCTTTGACCATTTCAAAATGGCGGAGATCACCGCGAGAGTCGAGCATATTATTTACCTTTTGAGTTTTGATCAATCATTTTCTTGTTGTAGCAGATGACTTAAGCAATCTAAAATAGTTTTAGCTAAATAACAGGTCTGGATCTCCATCTTTTTATCACATTACGACAACAAAAGCACTTGAACGCAACACACTGGTAAATACCAGTTCACAAGTGGAAAATATCCTATTTTCCATAGCACGTGAACACCGCATTAGACCAGCCCCAAGGCAGTGGAAGTGGTATGACCTCTTTAACTGTTCATTTACCACAAATTCAAACACTTTTGCTATAACAGATCATCGAGAAATAGGGTGATAATTATCCAACAAAGTACAATCTCCACCTTTCAGTAATGGAGAATTTCTGCTGATTTCAATGAAATTGGTATCAGACCACTGCTTAAACTTAAATTAAAAATTTTAAGTTTAATTTTTCTCTCTTAAAACAATAAGTTCAGATCACTGAATGTGTTGTTACTTTTGTAAATTCCAGATCACAAAGAAGCTGGCTGGCCATGGACAGGGGACAGCACTCTGGGTCAGCTCTATTGGCAATGAGGTTGGCCAGATACTGAACAGTGTCCTGACGGTGCAGGAGGGGCCAGGACTGGACAGGATGGTGACTGGTGTCATGGAACGGTACCGCCTGGCAGCCGTTCCACCCCCAGTGCTGCTGTATGTGGACTGTGGCTGCTGTGTGATGAGTGAGGGGGCAACCAGCAAGCTGCAGACCAGGTTTGGGCAATGGCCAGACCTCCACATCCGGCTGGACAACTGGCACTTCATGAGAAGGCTGGCCATGGGCTGCACCACCGATGCCCATCCCCTCTACCCAACCTTCATGGGATGCCTGTCTGCCTGCATATTTGAGTGGGATGCGGGTGACCTCAGCCTGTTGCGGCAGGCAAAAAACAACAGCTGATCCAGGAGGGTATGCCAGCTATTACTGATCTCATGGTGGACAGGAGCATCAGTAAAAGGGACCTCAGCCTTTACTGCCGCAGGAGAGGAGGACACCATTCGCCTCATTGACAGGCTGCTGCAGGAGCTGGGGGGAACAAATGGGAGGGACCTTATGGGGGTGCCACTTCTGGATCAAGTGCGCATGGAGCACATCTGACATGTGCAGAAACGCCATGTCAGGTGCATCCAGGACTTGCCAGTAGTGCCGCTCTACACTGAGGTAATAATAATAATAATAATTCATTACATTTATATAGCGCTTTTCTCTGCACTCAAAGCGCTTTACTTAGAGAGGGGAATCTCCTCAACCACCACCAGTGTGCAGCATCCACCTGGATAATGCGACAGCTGCCATAGTGCGCCAGAACGCTCACCACACACCAGCTTACTGGTGGAGAGGAGACAGTGATGAAGCCAATTGGTATATATGGGATGATTAGGAGGCCATGATGGCCAGAGGCCACAGGGCAAATTTGGCCAGGATGCCGGGTTACACCCCTACTCTTTCGAAGACATCCTGGGATTTTTAATGACCACAGAGAGTCAGGACCTCGATTTAACGTCTCATCCGAAGGACGGTGCTCTTTGACACTATAGTATGCCCATTACTATACTGGGGCATTAGGACCCACACAAACCACAGGGTGAGCACCCTCTGCTGGCCTCACTAACACCTCTTCCAGCAGCAACCTGGCTTTCTCAGAAGGTCTAAGGTACTAACCAGGCTCAGCCCTGCTTAGCTTCAGTGGGCATCCAGTCTTGGGCTACAGGGTGATATGGCTGCAGGTAGGCACCACCAAAAAGGCGGGGGTCATGCTGACCAGGTATCGCTGTGCCAGAGGGTCCACATCCCTGGAATCATTCCATTGCCACCTGAACAGGTTCTTTCCAGGTTAGTGTCTCACATGTATGATGTCTTAAATAACTGCTATGCATGATTCAGATTGAAAGGCAGATCCTTTTACAGTGGTTTAAATGTTTTGTTCTTCTTCTAGGAACCAGTGCCAATACACTGAACTTCCAACTATACCTCTTGGAAGGCCTGAACAGGTGGAATCAGGATCGGGGGACTGCGGCAGTGACCAGCAAGACCAGATATGGCTCACTGTGTCAAAACCAACAGCCTGAAGGTGTTTGGCCGGGCTTTTGTGCCAACTTTCACGCCACCTGCCAAATACACTGGTATGTCTTACCCTTATCTGGCTAAATTGTACTTTTAATTTGTGGGTTTTCAATTTTCCATCTAGATATTGAATCTATCATTTTATTATTCCTATTAACAAAGCCAACCATACACTGAGTCTGATTAGTTGCATTATATTTTGACAGAATGCTTTGAATATAATTAGTCATGTATGTGTGTGCTTTTTTGTTCTTTTTCATAGGAGAGCTGCTTGGTGTTGACTATCTCCTAAGTCAGACTGGTCAGCCTCTGGTGGTGAACCCCGACTCAGAGGAGACAGAAAACATGCTAGAGGATGTGGATGAAGGTGTGGACGAAGAAGACGAGGGCTTCGGGGAAGAACAGACTCCAAACAGACATTACTGTCTCAAGTCTTACCGATGACCCTAGCTTCCTCTGTCTCCTTCTCCTGCTTTATGCCCTCTGAGTCTCTCTCCTCCACCACACCTGCCACCTTCTCTCAGCCTGCTGAGAGAACCCCATCTCAGCCCGGTGCCTCCTCCACCCAGTCTGCTGCCTCCTCCACCCCCAGTCTGCTGCCTCTACCCAGTCTAATGCCTCTACCCAGTATGCTCTCTCCTCCACTCCCCAGTCTGATGCCTCCTCCATGCCGCAGCCAGGTGCTTCATCATCTCCTGATGAGTCTGCGGAATGTAAATACTTTTTTTTTATTACAGATGTGTTCGTTATTGTCACCATCTGCTGACATTTTAGAGTGCAATAATCAATCCTGGTATTTCTATAGACCAGTGTATATGTATCTGTGTTTTATCCCGCTTCACTGTTCTCATATTGTTGCTCATATATTTATTTTGCTCAGGCTGTGGATGACTTTGCTGTGCCAGGTATGGACAGAGTCGACAGCCTGGCGGAGTGTCTT